AGCACCTCAGGGCTCTATGGAAATATGGGATATATGACTGTAGTAACAGTTGCTTGATCCCTGTCCTAGCTATAAGGCTGTGCCTGCTTTCTCATCTCCTAAAGAAATGATAGCTCCAAATAGTGGTGTTTTGCTCCCTTTTTCAGACTCTTACAGTGAGAGGGAGAATCCAACTCCTGGCTTTAATAGCCTGACTCCAGTTTCCTCTGTCATATTGGACAGTAGTCTGCAGGATATAAATTCCCTTGCTACTCTGTGCACCTGGAACCCATCAAGCTCACATCTTTAGTCCCATGAGCTGTCTTAAGTTCTTGTTCCCTTTTTGACTCATAGAATTGTATGACTGATTCTCAGAGTATCAGTTTCAGGCAGTCTCTTCTCCCCACCATGATTTTATTTGCAAGTCTGAGGAGCTTAACTGGAAGTTATTACAGGCATACTCTTTTAGAGTAAAGTTCACAGGCTTAAAAATGGGGCTCTTTTCCTTGCAGTGCAAATAATCACTCCCTCTCCTCACTTTTGTAGCTTTTAAGGTACAAGTTTGTTATCTTTTTTAAAAAGCTTTCAATTTACTTCTACACGGGGCCAGGGGCCCTTCCAGTGTGCTCCCCAGAACCCTGTGCATTCCTCTGTTTTGATGCTTACCATATTTTATTGACATTTTCTGAGTGTCTGCTTCACTGTAAGACTTTTAAAGTTTTGGAGTTTAAACAGCGAATTTTTTCCCCTTTCATTCACCAGCTTAATAGTGAGATATTAGTATAAGAGACTGTAAAATGTCTTTATCTTATTTTCTTGTTAGTGTTTTTTATGCATTATTCTAGTGTCATTCTTTATTTGCCAAAGGGAATTGACTAGAAGTTGCTTGTCTCACAGTTAACCTTTAAAAATATCAGTTATAAGTGAGTTTAGAGCTATATGTAAAAATTACATGTGTGATTAATTGGTTTGGCAAACACAAAAGAAGGCTTTGTCTTGCCAAAGCTACAAAGTAAAATGATAGGAGGTAAAGAAAGAGGAATTAGAGTAAGATGAGAAGAGAGATTAGCAGGTGCAATAGCAGAGGTTACAATGAGCAACAAGTCATGCATTGTCAACAACACTGGAGGGAAAGTCAAAGGAAGAAAGAATTCCAACTAAAATACCTGTTTGAGGAGATACGTTGTCATATACAGCCCTTTATACTTTAAAAGCTCTTAATGCTTCTTTGTATGATGAATTAATTTCATGAAGTTAACCTTAGTGAGCAGGAAAAAGATTTATGAGCTCTGTACTTTCTAAGGAATAAGTACAGTCTTACCCTGCATAATTGCACTTTGGTCCACAGTGGACCACAAGTGAGACCTGTGAGACTATAACGGAGCTGAAAAATTTCCGTCATCTGGTGACATCATAATCGTTGTGATGTCACAATGCATTACTTCTGTTCTTGGTAATGCTGGTGTTGTAGTGTTCAATACCACTTGTAGGATGACTATGTTAATTATATATAATACATAGTTTGAAATAGCTAGAAGGAAGATGTTAAGTGTTCCTGACACAAAGAAATGATAAATATTGGTGACAATGGACATGCTAATTACCCTGATCTGATCATTATAATTATATGTGCTGAAACATCCATGTACCTCATAAATAATGTACAATTATGATGTAACAATCAGGAAAAAAAAAAAAAAAACAAGCCCGACATGGTAGCACACACCTGTAGTGCCAGTGACTAGGGAGACTGAGGCAGGAGGATTGCTTGAAGCCAGGAGTTTGAGTTTGCAGAACACTATAAATGTGCCTGTGAATAGCCACTGCACTCCAGTCCAGGCAACATAGCGGGACTTTGTCTCTTAAATAAAATTAAAAACAAAAAAAAGTTAACTGTAAAAGAATATTAGACAGGTCCTTCAGAGGTATCTCAGAAGTCATTGTTATAGGAGATGACAGCTCCTTGCATGTTGTTGCCCCTAAAGCCCTTCTAGTAGGACAGGATATGAAGGTGGAAGACAGTGATATTGGTGATCCTGACCCTGTGTGGGCCTCGGCTAATGTGTATGTTTTTGTGTTAGTTTTAAACAAAAAAGTTTTAGAGGTTAAAAAATTAAAAATAGAAAAAGCTTACAGAATCAGGATATAAAGAAAATATTTTTGTACAGCTGTACAATGTATTTATGTTTTAAACTAAGTGTTATTACAACAGAGTCAAAAAGTTTTAAAAAATCAAAGTTTATAGAGTAAAAAAGTTATAATGAGCTATGGTTAATGTATTATTGAAGAAAGAAAAAATTTAAAAATAAATTTAGTGTGGCCTAAATGTACAGTTTTTATAAAGTTTACAGTAGTGTGCAGTAAAGTCCTAGGCTTTCACATTCACTCACCACTCACTCACTCACCCCGAGCAACTTCAGTCCTGCAAGCTCCATTCATGGAAAGTGTCATACAAGTGTACCATTTTTCTCTTTTTATACTGTACTTTTACTGTACCTTTTTTGTGTTTAGATATACAAATACTTAAACATTGTGTTACAGTTGCCAACAGTAACATGCTGTACAAATTTATAGCTTAGGAGCAACGGGCTATACCATATAGCCTAGGTGTGTAGTTGGCTATGCTATAGGTTTTATTAAGTGCACTCTGATGTTCACACAATGATGAAATCGCCTAACACACAACACATTTCTTGGAATGTATCCTTGTCATCAAGGGACTGTAGTCTATTTTTGAAGAAAGTTTCATCAAAAATGATTATGATGATAAAGACTACAGCGCTTAAATTCACTTGTATTGAAAGCCTCACTTACTGAAAATACTACTTTTTACTAATCATAGAGTTATTTATGTACTTTGTTGTGTTTACCTGTTGGATAGTACTCATAAGGATCTGTTTAATTTGGCTTTAGTAGATTACTAGCTTTGTTTAATGACTGTGAAACTCAGGAGTAGAGGTATCTCAATAACTAGTGCTGGCAAGGATGTGGAGAAAGGGGAACCCTCTTACACTGTTGGTAGAAATGTAAATTAGTATAACCACTATGGAGAACAGTATGGAAGTTCCTGAAAAACCTAAAAATAGAACTACCATATGACCCAGCATTCCCACTTCTAGATATATATCCAAAAAAGGGAAATCAGTATATCAAAAAGATAACTGCACTCCTGTGTTTATTGCAGCATGATTCACAATAGCCAAGATTTGGAATTGACCTAAGTGTCCACCAGCAGATGAATGGATAAAGAAATTTTGGTACATATACAAGGTGGAATGTTACATAGCCACAAAAAGAATGCAGTCCTGCCATTTGCAACAATATGGATGGAACTGGAAAACGTTATGTTAAGTGAAATAAGCCAAGCACAGAAAGATAAATCTCATATGTTCTCACTCATTTGTGGGAGCTAACTATTAAAACAGTTGATCTCATGGAGACAGAGAGTAGAATGATGGTTACCAGAGGCTAGGAAGAGTAATGGGGGAGGAGATAAAGTGGGGATGGTGAATGGGTTCAAAAATATAGTTATTAATAGATAGAATGAACAATATTTGATAGTACAGTAAAGTGACTGTAATGAACAATGAGGTATACTTTACAGGGGTCCTCAGACTTTTTAAACAGGGGTCCAGTTTACTGTCCCTCAGACCGTTGGAGGGCCGTTGGAGAGCGCACATTCCACACATGCACACTGTGGGCCCGGGACGAGTCAGCTGCTAAGCAGGACAGGCAGCGGCAGCAAAAACACCCAACGGGCAGGCTGCATGTGGCACGCGAGCCGTAGTTTAAGGACTCTTGCTTTAAATAACTAAAAGAGTGGACTTAGAATGTTCTAACACAAAGAAATTATAAATGCTTGAGGTGATGGATACCCTAGTTACCCTGATGTGATTAATACACATTGTATGCTTGTATCAAAACATCACATGTACTACATAAAAATATACAACTATTACATACTGTAATTAAATTTTTTTTAACAAAAGAGTAAAGGTATCTAATCATTATTGTTTTAAAGTATGTACCTTCTAAAAATTAAGCCTGTACTCAGCAGTTAAAAATAGTGTGTAGGGGCTGGGCGCGGTGGCTCATGCCTGTAATCCTAGCACTCTGGGAGTGATCAGAGGAGGATCACTCAAGGTCAGGTGTTCGAAACCACCCTGAGCAAGAGTAAGACCCTTTCTCTACTAAAAATAGAAAGAAATTAATTGGCCAACTAAAAACATATGTAGAAAAACTTAGCCAGGCATAGTGGTGCATGCCTGTAGTCCTAGCTACCCGGAAGGCTGAGGCAGGAGGATCGCCTGAGCCCAGGAGTTTGAGGTTGCTGTGAGCTAGGCTGACGCCACAGCACTCTAGTCCAGGCAACAGAGTGAGACTCTGTCTCAAAAAAAACCCACAAAATATTGTGTAGGAAGATGAAAACAACAATGTTTTGTGTTTGTGGAACTCTTTCCACATAGTAATTTAGTGTAAGTTAATTTCCTCTTTGATATTTTTTCATAATCTTTAAATGTGTAATTCATCTATTGTTCTTGGTGTCTTTCATTTATTACTATTGATTTTAATTTTTTTAAATGTGCTAACATTCTGTTATCATAGTCCATTTATATATCCTAAGATAAGTTAAAGGCTATTTGCTGCCTTAAAAAGAAATTCATTATATTTTCTTATTCTCAAGAATTGGGACAACTTAATTTCAAAATTACTATCAGTTGATAATAGTGTTACTTAAATTTGAAATGCTGTAGTCTCTCATATCTGTTTAATTAAGCTATAGATATTTGGTGAGATGACATAGTGAAGATTTTAATAAAGAGTAAAGATATTGGATTTTGATATTAAATGCAATAACCAATACATGAAGTTTTATCACCTGTCTTAAATTTGATGATTCTGAATAAACTAACATATAAACACATTTTCTGTAATATTTGCTAACCTTTTATGAGAGAAAATTCTAAACATACTCTTGATAATAACTTGAAACTTTTTATTTTTAAATTGTTCCCTTATAGAATGTTTCTCCATCCCAGAGAGATGAAGTAATTCAGTGGTTGGCCAAACTCAAGTACCAATTCAACCTTTACCCGGAAACATTTGCTCTGGCTAGCAGTCTTTTGGACAGGTTTTTAGCTACTGTAAAGGTAAATATTTTAAGATACAATTTACACATAACCTCTTGTTTTAGTGTTTACATGCTAAACTGGAGGCTATTAGTAAGCATTCTATAAAGTGGAAAGAAGTGGAGAACTTTCCTGGAGAATGGTGTATGTACCCATAGGAAAACATGGTATCTTCTGCTATTGTTTTAAATTTTTGGAACTGTTTCTGATTGTATTCTATAATTATCTCTTTGCTATAAGTATTCATAACTTAGACTGAAATTTTTGATCTCTTAATTTTAGTATATATAAACTGTATAGCATTGGCAGAATGTTTAATCATCTAACATACTGGTGTGCTAAAGGTGTACAGTGAATTCAGACTAGGAAAGACTAAGCCTATTATACATTTTTCATTTTTTTTAAATTTAAAATTTATAATATTGTTTTCTTTTTTTTTTTTTTATCCAGAGAAGGGTTGTTTCCTGGCTTCTATACATTTTTCTTTGTCACTAATTTATTGAATATTCATATTGTGTGTTTTTCTGAACAATATATAAATACTGTCTGGGGGCATACTTTGGGCTATACCAAGATGTCATAAAACAACTTTGGTATATTTTTGTTCAATGGCAACATATAAACATTAATAAGTTTTATATTGTTCCTATTGCTCTGTGACTAGCTATGTTAAGTCGTTAATAGTTGCCTCTCAGCTGGGCACGGTGGCTCATGCCTATAATGCTAGCACTCTGGGAGGCTGAGGCGGGAGGATGGCTCAAGGTCAAGAGTTCGAAACCAGTCTGTGCGAGACCCCACCTCTACTAAAAATAGAAATTAATTAACCAACTAAAAATATATATGCAAAAATTAGCCAGGCATGGTGGCGCATGCCTGTAGTCCCAGCTACTTGGGAGGCTGAGGCAGGAGGATCGCTTGAGCCCAGGAGTTGGAGGTTGCTGTGAGCTAGGCTGACGCCACAGCACTCACTCTAGCCTGAGCAACAAAGTGAGACAGACTCGTCTCAAAAAAAATTAGTTGGCTCTCAGCATTTTTAAAGCAGCATTTATTTTATGGCAAGTCATGAAAAAAGTAGAAAAGTGATTCGGCTGTATGCCTAAAGAATACAGCCTAGGCATTTGTTTGCTTAGGAATATGTAAACTAGGGGAACTGAATTAAATGCTTGGTTATTAGGTATAAAAAGTAGAAGCCAAAGAATTTAAGGAGTGTAGGAGTGTAAGTTTGGATAGCCACTTAGTTATGTTCCAAACTTTTTCCCTCTTAAGAGACTTAAAAGAATCCTTAATTATGATGCTAATTGCCTGAAATCTGGGTTTTCTGGGAATGCCTACTTTCATCTCAGCAACTCGTCCATATCCCTCCTCCCTCTTTATTTGCCACAGCTAACTCACCCTTCCACAGATAGTTCCACAGAAAGATGAGCTTACAGTTAGTGTCCTTTCCTGGGTTATATATTCTTCAAGAATTATTAATGAGCTTATTGTTATAGCTTCTATGATGAAAGAGGTTTTTTTTTGTTTTGTTTTTTTTATACAGGGTCTTGCTCTGTTGCCTGGCTAGAGTGCAGTGGTATCATCAAACTCCTGAGCTGAAGCAGTCCTCCTGCCTCAGTTGCCCAAGTAGCTGGAACTACAACCATGTACCACCACACTATCAATTTTTCCATTTTTTGTAGAGACCAGGTGTCTCCCTCTTGCTCAGGCTGGTCTTGAACTCCTTGGCCTTAAGTGATCCTCTTTCCTCGGCCTCCCAGAGTGCTGAAATTACAAGTGTGAGCCACTATGCCCAGCCAGAAGAGATTCTTAACATGTTTATTAAACATTTTAAACAAATTTGGGGAAATTTCATTTTTTTCATGTCTTTATTATTTAGGTCATGTTTTCGTAACATTAGAAACTCTTACTTACAGATGGTTAATCTATATTAAATAATCTAAAATGTATTTATGGCTTTAATAAAGGCATTTAAAGCAGACTATAAAAGGGCTATAACAATGAATGGAGCCTGAATCCTCGCTGTGCAGAAGAAATCACTATGAAGCTCTTTAAATGTATGGAATCTGAGCCCTGTCTCAGACCTCCTGAATCTGAACCTGTGGTGGGTGAGAGCTGTTGTGCTTAAAGAAGCAAAACCAAATTACACAAATGATTCTAATAGCCAGAAATGAGAACTACTGTTTGTTTAAAAAAAAAAAAAAAACAAGCACACATTGGCTTTTTTTTTAATTACTAAATTTATTCCTTTTTTTTTTTTTTTTTTTTTTTTCTTTGAGAAAGAGTATCATTCACCCCAGGTAGAGTGCAGTGGCATCATCATAGCTCACTGCAACCGCAAACTCCTGGGCTCAATCGGTCCTCCTGCCTCAGCTCCTGAGCCACACACAATGTCTGGCTAATTTTTGTAGTTTTAGTAGAAACAGGGTCTCACTCTTGCTCAGGTTGGTCTCGAACTCCTGACCTCAAGCCATCCTCCTGTCTTGGCCTCCCAGACTAAATTTATTCTTAATTAGGCGTTGTATTGCTTACCCAAAGTTGTTAACTGTTAGGCTCTTTTTTTTGTAATGAACTCAGATTACCTGAGGGATGTGGCTTTTCTATATTGCATGCATGGGAAAATAGGGAGCCTGGAAAACTGTACTGGCAGCCAGATCTAATTTCATTTCCTAGATCACCTGTGTGTGTCTCTTAACCTCTGAGACTGTTTTCTCACCTGTGAAATAAAGGCATAACAGATGTGATGCTATTTATGGAAGTGCCTTCTAAATCATAATGCTCTGATTAATACTTAAAAATTTTTTAAAATATTGATAGTATTGAACTTTTATGTCATGTGGACAGAGGATTGGAAGATTCCTATAGTGTATGTCACTTATAGTTGTTATTGGCATGTTTATTAAATGATAAGCTATGTTTGTTAAATGATAATCAAGACCATACTCTGGTCATCAGAATTCCACAATGCTAAGGGAATGTAATATTTAAGTATAACATAATATTGAAACAGGTTTTCGCTGGTGTTCTTTTTGTGTATTAATTTAATTTGCCTTTGTGTCATTCAGTATAACTTGGACTACATTGTCCTAATTGTAGAAAACTGGATTCTGGTGCTGTGTTAGCAAACACACTGAAAATGAGCCTGTCTTATAGGTAGGGCAGATTCGAGCCCTCTTATGTATGTCAAACTCCAAAGAGATAATTTTTTTCCACTAACTGATCTTGTATGGATTTAGGATCTTTTCATTGTTATGGAACTTGAATATAGGTTTGTGTGGACACTTAATTAAAAAATTTTTATTCATCTGCTAGCATCCTATAATTTTTTAGAGTATTTGAAGCATACTAATAGCTTTATTTTTATAGTCTCTTTTTTTCTCTTTGATCCTCCTAACACCTTGTATATTATTTTACTTATTATTTTGTTACGTAAAGAAAATAAAATTAGAATTAAAAAAAAATTTAACAACACAAAGATATATTTAAATTGGAACTATATTCACACTTCTAAAAAGTCCTTCTGGAACATACGAATTTTGGCTCAACTGGCTTTAATTGAACTTTGAGCACTGAAATATTTTTCGTAGACTCTCACATTGGCTAGGGATCTGTCATGTTAAAATTAGCTGCTGGATCTAAAAGCAGGGTCGGTGGGAAGCAGTTGACATTTCTGTGGAATTGTGTATCACAGTGCCATCTGCAGTAATTCGATCTTTAAAGAAGCAGATTAGTAAAAATTTAATCGTTTGTTGAAAAAGTCTCGCTAAAAGTTCGTTTGTGTCCGCCCTCTTCGAAAATTCTTTTTGAGGCCATGCCGAAAATGTACTTGAGCCTCTGTTATTAGCAATGCAGCTGCTTTCTTCGTAGGCGTGGCCAGAAGACGCTGTTGAGGAGGAAGATGAGGTAATAATCTTCAAGATTGGTTAGTTTCTTTGCTGTAAAATCTTCTCCCATTGATTAATGTGCTTGTTGCGTTTGCCGAAAACCAAAATGAAAAATGGAGTTTATTTCTTTGTTCTCTTGCCCTCGTGTGTGCTGTTTCCTTGTTTTGGCGTAGAGAATCATACTGAAAGTATTGGCAGAGACACGTTTCTCTGCGATGTTCCTCAATCTGAAAGTTCTGAGATTGGACGAGAATTAATTCTGCGATAAGTTGAATTGGGATCTTTCACACAGCCACCACCATTGGATTTTCTTGCACATGTAAAGTATAACTGAATTTCTTAGTTTCATTATTTAAAGTATGTCAGTCTTGTTTCTTGAAAACTTGAAAAATAGTTGCCTACTCATTATTTTGTACTGCATTTTAAGGAAAAAAAGAAATAACTGAATTACCAAGGAAAAGTTAGAATTAGTATATTAATTCAAGTCAATGAAGCTATAATTAAAAGTTAGAAATTGGTAGTATACCAGTTTCTATACCATAACATTCCTACGACAAATTAAAATTAAAACTGATGGGCGGTTTTTTTGTTTTGTTTTCAGTCTCCATGCCATTGCAGTGTCACTACGGCTCAAGTAGCTGTTCTCAATTTGCCCAAATTGAGCCCGTCTCAACATTTGGCGGTCCTCACCAAGCAACTACTTCACTGTATGGCCTGCAACCAGCTTCTACAATTCAAAGGATCCATGCTTGCTTTAGCCATGGTTAGTTTGGAAATGGAGAAACTTATTCCTGATTGGCTTCCTCTTACAATTGAATTGCTTCAGAAAGCACAGGTAGGTGTCAGTCTAATTTATATAGTGTTCATTTTAAGTTTTTCTGTTGGAATACATAGGGTTATCCCAGATGGTTATAGAACTAAGCAACCTTTTTTTTTTTTTTTTTTTTTTTTTTTTTTTTTTTTTTTTTTTTGAGACAGCGTCTCACTCTGTTGCCCGGGCTAGAGTGTCTTAGCATCAGCCTAGCTCATAACAACTTCAAACTCCTGGGCTCAAGCGATCCTCCTGCCTCAGCCTCCCAAGTAGCTGGGACTACAGGCATGCGCCACCAGGCCTGGCTAATTTTTTCTATATATTTTTAGTTGACCGATTAATTTCTTTCTACTTTTAGTAGAGACGGAGTCTCACTCTTGCTCAGGCTGGTCTCGAACGCCTGACCTTTAGCAATCCTTCCCCCCTCGGCCTCCCAGAGTGCTAGGATTATAGGTGTGAGCCACTGCGCCTGGCCAGACTAAGAAACATTTTTAATCTTGTAATCACAAATCATTCTTAAGTGTAGACAAGGGCCAGGTGTGGTGGCTCATGCCTGTAATCCCAGCACTTTGGGAGGCTGAGGCTTGAGGCCAGGAGTTTGAGACCAGCCTGGGCAACATAGACCCTGTCTCTACAAAAAATGAAAAGGTTAGCTGGGCTGCTGGTGTGTGCCTATAGTCCCGACTGCTTGGAAGGCTGAGGCAGGAGGATTGCTTGAGCCCAGGAGTTCTAGGCTGTAGTGAGCTATGATCGTACCACTGCACCTCAGCCTGGGCAAGACCCCATCTGTTAAAAAAAAAGTAGACAAAGAATAAACCAGAGTAAAGTATACACTTTAAATTTATGAACTGGTGGGCTAGGTGTTCCTTTTTTCCTTGTAAAATGTAGATAGTTTTTAAATTATTTTCAGCCTTTCTCCTAAAGTAAGAATTTTGAAAAATTATTAAGATTCTCAGTAATACATTCTCCTTTAGTTTTGTATAAAGAAACTTCCTAGCTACATCTGTAGGTTTCATGTAGTACTTCTCTTTTTATAAAAGATGTCAGATACATAAATTGTAAGAAGTTGCTTTTTCGACAAGCAAATAATTTTTTGTTGGCTAGTAGGGGAAATATTTGTACCAGTTGCCAAATATTTGGCAGTTGGAAGCTATCTTTCTGAAAGCTTTTTGTCCTTATTGCCTAAGATTAGTTTGGCACTTGTATCTACAGATTGATATATAGGTTGATAAATTATCAACTACCTACATAAAACATAAAAGTTTAGTGCAGAAAATTCTCATTCAAGTGGAAAGTTGGTAATAGCTGTATGTTAGCAACTACTTTGAGAGAAGCCTTACTGATTTTATTCATGTCACAAATTAAACTTACCAAGTTTAGCTCTGCTGCAAACCATACTCTTGTCAACTGAGTCCATAAAAGACTTAGGGAATCTTCTTTTCTTTTATGTGGCTCTATTTATTCTCATTTATCAAGTTATTCTGATTTGTTTTATTGGATTTTATTTAGAGGACTATTAAATTCTGAGCTTAAAAACATTATGCAATAAAAAAACTATAATAAAGAAGTGCATTTATTCACCTAATAAAACTTATAAAAGAATACTATAAAAGAAAAACAATAATGCTTGAATTTGGGTTTTTGTAAGATAGTTATAATTGATCTTATAGCAGACATTTAAGTATCTCAGTGCTACCCTCTCAGCTTCTGAGAATTTTAAGGTCTAGTTTGTAATCAGAGAAGGGCTGAGAGTCTTTTCATAAAAGGGATGATGAATTTTACCTATACAGTGTAACACAGGCTATTTCTCCTTTTCAAGGAATATATGTTCTTATAATCGTGTATCTTAGTTTGAAAAAACTTAGAGAAGTGTTTCGTTCCTTTGAAATAAATGCTGTAATGAAAATCCTAGGAAGTAGTTGCTATTTAGTGAGAATTTTGAAAAACTGTCATAAACCATCATTTAATGGTGTAGCACAGATAATTCATTTTGCCTACCTAGAGTGTTGGAAAGTACGATTGAATATTAATCATTCCCATCAGTCTGAAGTGGGGGAACAAGCTTACTAGAAAACCTACGTTACATTATTTTTTATTATTGTTGTAACAAATTACATCTCTCTAAATGCCTCCTGATTTGTTCTCTGCCTTTTCTCAAGTTAGTACAGAAAAGATTTCCTATATAAAGTGTTAGTGTCAAAAGAAAACATAAATAATAAGAATGTAGTATATGGCATGTGTATTCTGTGTATTGTACTGGCATGTGTATTCTTTGAGAACCTATTCTTTTACTGGAGAATGTGCTTATTCTCTTTTTTGTAAGATTTCTGATGCTAGAAGAAAGTCATCACTAAATCTTTTCTCCTTAGCTGAAGGAGTATTATAAACATGGCATTTGACAGAACCTTTGTGGAAATCAATTCAGTCCAATTGTTTTATAGTCCCAGTTCAGGGAACTTGAGACTTTCTTACAGCCATGTTGAACTACTTGGTAGTAAAGAAAACTAAAAAGAATCAGTACTTTTTCCATACCATACAAACTTTAAAAATTCTAGTTCATTGGTTTTCATAGAAATTTCCTTTGGAAGTAGAACCCTTTCTCTGTCCCCCAACCCCCAACAAATTCTGCGTGCAAACAATCCCAATATATAGAGTAGAAGAGTGGAATTGTACTTGTAATATGTGTTTAGAGCAGAGACATGACAGGGTGCAGAGCCTACTCAACATGACCTTTTCCCTTCCATAGCTATTTGGACATAGCTTGAAAACCACTTTTGCATTCTCTTACATACATATTTAATACTTATATTCCACAAACATTTATTGATAAGTCTGTGATCTGCACACTGAGGATATAGTGAGTTCTTTTTTTTTTTTTTTTTTAAGTCTCTGTCCCATATAGTGTTCAGGTTGCAATGGGAAAGATAGTGAACAAAAACAAGTAAGGTTGCAAAACTTGGTAGAGACTTTCAGACTTGTTCTAGCAGTTCTACTCTAAAACCAACTTGGACTAATAACCAACCCACGTGGCCCAAACAGGAATGGCTCCTGGTTCTTCAGGACTCAGTTATGTCTTTGCTAAGTTTACCTGTATTCAGGTAGGAACACCAGGTCTGATATCTTTGTGATTCGACCTGTGACAAGGCCATAGTAGTATCATATATTCCTCCTGGATTTCTGATTCTAATATAGGGAAATTCTTGCAGATCAGATTGGTGAGATCATGGCAGAATTACTTCTGACATGATTCCCAGTGTCTTGGTTTGAGAAGGGTCCATCACAGACATTTCTTGCTGTGTGGAGCCCACTATTACTAGCTCTGCCGATCTGTCCTCTAGACTTGAGACAAAGACTGGTGAGTGTACCCAGGTTTGAAGCCTTTCAAACTTTGAAGCTTCCTCTTTTCCTTCCTAGCCTCCCCCCTTCCCCCCATTGAGCTCTCCTGCCACCTGTTGGTCACCATTCTGGGATTGCTAAACTTTTCTGTTACCCTTTCTATCCTTGCTCTACTTGTGTGGCTATGTTCCCACCTCCTCCTCTTTCTGACTGATGTGGCCCACCCTGGTAATTTTAGGGTGTTAACTCTACCAGGAATAGTAGAGGATTCGTGGGAGTAGATGTCTAGTTTAACACTAGAGTAGGGAGTTAAAGAAGTACACCCTTCTTACCACAGTCTCTTGGTTCTTCTTGAAGGTGGCTAAGGTTAGGCTACTCCAGCAGGTATTTGTAGTGCTTCTTTCTGCCCACCAAACCTGGATCCATCTGGACCTATAACTTATGTCATTTATTGTTATGAAAATAACAATAAAGATTTTCTTGACACCCTATTATTAGAAATTGTAATTAGAAAGTTCATTTTAGGCTGGGCGCGGTGGCTCACGCCTGTAATCCTAGCTCTTGGGAGGCCGAGGCGGGCGGATTGCTCAAGGTCAGGAGTTCAAAACCAGCCTGAGCAAGAGCGAGACCCCGTCTCTACTATAAATAGAAAGAAATTAATTGGCCAACTGATATATATATGTAAAAAATTAGCTGGGCATGATGGCGCATGCCTGTAGTCCCAGCTACTCGGGAGGCTGAGGCAGAAGGATCGCTGGAGCCCAGGAGATTGAGGTTGCTGTGAGCTAGGCTGACGCCACGGCACTCACTCTAGCCTGGGCAACAAAGCGAGACTCTGTCTCAAAAAAAAAAAAAAAAGTTCATTTTAAATTCTTTTAACAAAGCTCTACTGGAGGATTTGTGGGTGTCTAGAGTTGTAATTCCAGTATATGTGCTTGTTTTGTTTCCTCCTAGATCTCAGCAAGGATCACATTTTTTTTAGAAGAAATTCAGATTGTACTAGATTAGAAGGAATTTATTTTGATATATTATTTTGGACAGAGGACTTACTTGGTACTTGGGTAGAGTGCAATTCATATAGATGATTTTGGTTTGAATAATTTCCAGTGTCTTTACTAGCCCTATCATTTTTTACCAGTCTTCACCTCTAAAACATAACTCTGTATTTACTTACTTTTTTCACACAGGAAGATTATGGTGACATAAATAGTCTTACTTAAATAGATTTTTTTTTTTAGGATTCTGCCTTGATACTGATTTGCCATGGTATTTATTATGCTCAGTGATCAAGGCATTAGAATATTTGTGGTACTTCTACTTTCTAGGCCACCAGGTATCATTCAGTTGCTGAAGAACAATTCATTAAACTAGGTACAGCCAGCCCTCCATGTCCGTGGGTCCCCCATCTGTGGATTCAACCAACTATAGATTGAAAATAGAAAAAATTCCACAAAGTTCTAAAAAGCAAAACTTGAATTTGTCACTCACCAATACTACATTGTATCTATGCAAATGAAGTGATGTGTAGGCATTGTATTAGGTATTACAAGTAACCTAGAAATGATTTAACATATAGGGGAAGATTGCATAGGTTATATACAAAACTATGCCATTTTATATAAGGGACTGAGCATCGTCAGATTTTGGTATCCATGGGGTGGGGTGAGGGTGAGGTCCTGGAACTAGTTCCCGATGGATGGATACCAAGGGACGACTGTACTTACTTTTTAGAAGTAATTTCTATGGTATAGCCTTTTTTTTCACTTCCCAATTTATCTTTCTTTTCTATTACCTATTACTTCCCTTTTGTAGGCTTCTTAAAGTATTGGCAGAAGCCCCATCCCTTCTTTGTGCCACTGTTTCTTAGCATGATTCAGGTGGTTCTACATCCCTAGGGCATATGTTAAGACCTAGCCTAAAGTAGTAAACTTGATAGTTGAGGAACTATCTTAATTTTTTTCTTTCAAGGGAGGAAAAGGCCGGGCGCGGTGGCTTAAGCCTGTAATCCTAGCTCTCTGGGAGGCTGAGGCGGGCAGATTGCTCGAGGTCAGGAGTTCGAGGCCAGCGTGAGCAAGAGCGAGACCCTGTCTCTACTATAAATAGAAATTAATTGGCCAACTAATATATATATATAGAAAAAATTAGCTGGGCATGGTGGCGCATGCCTGTAGTCCCAGCTACTCGGGAGGCTGAGGCAGCAGGATTGCTTGAGCCCAGGAGTTTGAGGTTGCTGTGAGCTAGGCAGGTTGCTGTGAAGTTGCTGGCGCCACGGCACTCACTCTAGCCTGGGCAACAAAATGAGACTCTGTCTCAAAAAAAGAGGGGGAGGGAACCCTCTAATACTAGTTAATAGTGTCTTACCTATAGTGTCTTATCTAGTGCCTTTCAAACTAAGCGAAAACTAGTAAACAAATTGTAGATGTTAAAATCTGCCATTTTCATTTCTATTTCTGACAGTATTAGTTATCTTTACATTTGTATTACATGAGGACTAATAGTATTTCATCCTTCTATCCGTTGATATTTTTCTCAATAACAAATAATATATTTAGAGGTAATAATTTTATGACCAAATGTATTCTTTTAGAATGTGTTACCTTTATTTTGTCTGTGGTATTGCAAATAGTCATTCTGTGTGGTTATATAGGAACGAAAAACACTTGTTCTAGAAATGTTCAAAATACCTATAAAATACCCAAAACTGTAAAAAAGTGATCCCTGATAATTAAATGGTCAGTCAAGATAGGCTTCCTGAAGGTGATGGCATTTAGCCAGGCCTGGAAGGAATGAGTAATACAATTTCAATAGGTGTAAAATAGGACGAGTGAGGGTAAAGTAAGTCAAGAGAAGAATTGTACATAATAGATAGTGGGTCTGTTTGGCAGGAATGTAGGACACAAATTTGGGGGTATGCTAGGAAATAAGACTGGAAAAGAAAGTTGGGGTCAGGAGAGCCTTATTAATACTAAGCTAAGGAGTTTAGCTTATTTCTGCTAGGGGCTAGGCATTGGGGTGCTGGTGAAGATTGTAGGGGAGAAATATATGCTGCTATAGGAAGATTATTTTGACAGTGCTGTAATTATAGGGAAAGTAAGGCAGAGAGCTACTTCACTACAGGTAAGATTTTGAAGGCCTTCCATATGCAGTCATTGTGCTAGAAACGTAGGGATAAAAAGATGAATACAATACACTGCCTACACCTTGGATCTTGTAACCTATAATGGAAAGGCTAAGTAACTAAATAAAAATTTTAATAAAATGTAAATATGACAGCAGGTTGATATAGAAACAGATGACCATAGCCTTTGAGGTGTGTAGGGGGTTAGGGAAATCTCGGGGGGATTCCAGAAAGGATTGGAACCTGTTCGAACTGTCCTGAAGGGTAAGAAGGAATTAGCAAAACTCCCAAATTAAACAAAAACATAAGCAAAAATGTTGCAAAAATGAAGCATAAGCTTCCTAATGTTGTTATGTCTACTATTTTGTACAAAATATAACTTGTCTAAAGTTGTCATTGTTTTAAAAAATTCTAACTTCTTAGCTAGACAGGTTTCCTTCATCCCTGATTAAAATTTTTTTTTGCCTCTGGCCTTTTCCTTAAATTCATTAAATTAATTAAATTAATGCATTAATTAATTTAATTAATTCATTAATTAATTTCCTTAAATTAATGTGGTATTTATCTGTATTTTGGTCTGCACTGAACAAATTAGGAAACTCCTCAACCCCACCCTCTTGGCCTCTTCTAGACAGGAGGAACGGACTGAAAAAAAAGCAGACATAGGAGTGAACAAGAGACTAATTTCTGCTGCTCTCATGTAAATATAATTGCAAATGCAGAATTCAGAAGTTGCAATTCAGAATTGCAAATGCAGAAGTTCCAAAGAGATTTATATTAGAAGTACAGATTTGGATATAATTTTTAAGAAGATAATAGGTAGGCTAGAGAAAGATGAGTTTGAAGATGTGGGGAGAGAAAAGAGGGCAGAGGGAGGAAAAGTGGCCAGCAAAGATGACAGAGCAGCCTATTAAAAGTTAATGAGTACCTTTGTGGTGTTTTTTTCCTGGCCCAGATGGATAGCTCCCAGTTGATCCACTGTCGGGAGCTTGTGGCACATCACCTTTCTACTCTGCAGTCTTCCCTGCCTCTAAATTCCGTTTATGTCTACCGTCCCCTCAAGCACACCTTGGTGACCTGTGACAAAGGAGTGTTCAGATTACATCCCTCCTCTGTCCCAGGCTCAGATTTCTCCAAGGACAACAGCAAGCCAGAAGTGCCAGTCAGAGGTACAGCAGCCTTCTACCATCATCTCCCAGCTGCCAGTGGGTGCAAGCACACCTCTGCTAAGCGCAAAGTAGAGGAAATGGAAGTGGATGACTTCTATGATGGAATCAAACGGCTCTATAATGAAGATAATGCTTCAGAAAATGTGGGTTCTGTGTGTGGCACTGATTTGTCAAGACAAGAGGGACATGTTTCCCCTTGTCCACCTTTGCAGCCTGTTTCTGTCATGTAGATTCAATAAGTGTTACCTTCAAGTGCAAACTAAGGTAGACTACTCTGGGGATGAGAACAGGCAAGACCAGGAAAGGCTATAGAAGGATATATGCCTTATCAGGCTGATTTGAAGTGAGCCAGAAAAAAAAACCCTCATTTACTTGTCCAGCTAATTCAACATTATTTAACCACTTAAAGACCAAAAAAAAAAAAAAAGATATAAAAATCCAAAAGATGCAAAATTTTTTAATAAGCAAATTTCTTTTTAGTATGTCAGTTGTACTCTTTTTCTGCTGGAATGTAATATAGCTTGCCCCATGTAAAAAATTCACATTTAATGTTTTTTTAAAAAGTTCCAAAATTCATAGCTAGCAAAACTGTCCCCAGTGTCCTGATTTATTTTTCCTTTTGCTTTTGCTTGCTTCTCCATTGAGTACTTAATGAATTTTATGCATGTTTACCTATGCTGACTTCTACTGAATAGGAAACCCCCAAAATTATTTTTTAGCAATTTAATGAACAGATTATTTCAGTGTGACAGCCATGTTTAATCCATGATTGAAATTCCAGTTAATCTGAAAAGGGTACTTTGGAGGGAGCTGTCCAATATGAATCAGAGGTGGTAATAGAAAAAGAATATAGACAATAGAAAATATTATCACATTGATTTTATATTTGTCTCATTTCAATTTCTACAGTTTAAAAATAATTACCGTTTTCATTTTTGTTTATCTTAAAGTGAAATTTAAAAGTGGCATGTAATTAGGATACTCTTAGATTTGTTGAAAGCATCTTTGAATTTGCATAAGAGAATTTGTGATAAAGTTAATATATCCAGGTGCTCACCAAAGAAACATGTATGTAATAACTAAAATTAAGGTTTTTGTAACTGCTCAGTTTTCACTCAATAATCGTAGGAGAGACTGTCTAAGTGTTGGAGCAGCTCTATGATTTGAGTCTATAACATGTAATAACTGTATTCAGTACCCTAGTTTTATGTTAAACTGTTAGGATTTCCTTGACAAAAGTTATTCCCCTTGCCTTCTCAGCCCCCCTGTATTTCTCTTAATGACCTCTGGATCCTGAGCTCCTTTTACAGTCTGGAAAAGGTATTGCAGTCACACCATGTACTGATGATAAAAGCCTCTGGTAGCAATAAAAAGTTGTCCTTAAACCTTTGTATCTGTAACTTCTTTTTGCTTGTGAAGAGATACAAGTTCCTGATTGCTTCAGCACTGCCATTTCAACTAAGGAAAACAACAGAAATGGTGAATATGCTTACTAAAAATTAAACATATAGAAAAGGAGATTTGAATGTGATTGAGAGATGTAGCTTTTAGAAATAAGGAACAATTTTTCTTTAAGGTATTTTCTCATTGGTGGATTATGGATCTTCCAAACAGTAAATTCTCATCTTAGTTGGACTGTTCATTAGGGCAGGCTCAGACCCGAATCTAGGTAATGTGTCATTTTTAGCCCACTGATTTTGTTCAAGTCTAGCTGAGCAAGAATATTCTCAGGTCAACATCTGACTTTCCTGAAACTCTTATAGTGGGGTTGACTACCTATTTTATGACCTTACAATCCAAGTAAAAGGGAAGATAGCAAATTCATCTTGATCTTAGTTCTTGTGAATTGTGGGAGCTCCAGGAAGTTTGCAACTACATATGTTCATAGCATCTATAACATGAATGGCACTTAGTTCCCTTTCTTTCCCCTATTTAACAGATGAGGACATAGAGTATTGGGTCAGAATATTTCATTTGTAGTCCAGTAGTTGCAAACTGAACAAAAGTTAGAGGACAATAGGATTTTCATTGTTTGATCTTAAGGTTTTCTAATAATTAAGAATTGATGATACATCACTTTGGAACATGATGTTTTTATGGAACACTGAATCAAGTGAAATAGTTGGGCTGCTCTCAGCCTCAAAGTTTATTTAACCCATAGTTTAATTCACTGACAGGACTTTGGAGACCTGCCCCTTCTGAGCATGCTTTCAGTTCCACCTTCCCTGCCATGACTCCATAGATCTCAGCTCCCTTCTTCATGACTTAAGAGAACTTGGGTGAGACAAAAATAGCACAATATTCTTGAACAGCATGAAACTTTATGTTAAGAACATTCCTGCTGTTATGTTAGTGCCAGTCTTACCTGGAACTATTCTCATCCTGTCCCAAGTTACTTGTGTTAAATTTTGGAATCACATCACAAACTCCCAAGATTTGGAAACTCATGGTGAGGTTATATGTCATAATTGCCTGGTGGCTAAAAAAACCTGTCATTCCGTGAAGTCTCTGGAAAGGCAAGGGAATATACTTGAGCATAGTATTAATATTTATTCTCTAATCCTCCAACAGAAAGTGAAAGACCATGCTCTATCTAGTCATCAATGATTAGGAGAATCTAAATATTTACTTCATCTTCTTCAATTTACTTCAAAATTGGTAAGTTGGTTATTGGGAGAACTGAATTGTCTCTGCAGACAGATGATGTCTTGCTGTGGAGGGGGAAGGGAGAGCTATGAATGAGGAGGAAATGCCGATAAAAGTTCAGGTATAACTGATTTGTCAGAAGTGTTCCTGACACTGCCTTTGGCTCTGAAGGAAACCAGAAGGTAGCTAGCTCATCACTCAGCCAAGCTAGTGAGAATCGGAGCCTACATTCCCACTAGTGAGTGAAATAAAACTGGTGTTTGTGCCCCCAAGAAGTACTTCTTTTCTCCTGTGCTGTGACAGTCACCATGTCTGTGTGTCTTCTGTACTCTTTTTACATACCTGCATTTTCATCCTTTCTAATTTATTCATTTTGGATTTCCTGAAGCAAGAAGGCAAGTTGTGCTTGAGCATTCTCCTGCCCAAAGCAGCCTTTTACTTGCAAGTATGGTTAAGCTACTGATACTCAGCCAGCACGGTGGAGAGAGCTTATCTTCCCCCAAAAAGATAGTCCCAAACTACCTTTAAGGTAGTTTGTACACCTTCACCTGGAAAGTAAAGATGCTGTGCCATGTGTTCTGCGAGATAAGCTGTTTACATTAGCAAGTATAGGATTCGAGGGGGGGCGCAGTGGCTCACGCCTATAATCCTAACACTCTGGGAGGCCAAGGCAGGCAGATTGCTCAAAGTCAGGAGTTCAAAACCACCCTGAACAAGAGCGAGACCCCGTCTCTACTAAAATTGAAAGAGATTAATTGGCCAACTAATACATATAGAAAAAATTAGCTGGTCATGGTGACACATGCCTGTAGTCCCAGCTACTTGGGAGGCTGAGGCAGCAGGATTGCTTGAGCCCAGGAGTTTGAGGTTGCTGTGAGCGAGGCTGACGCCATGGCACTCACTCTAGCCTGGGCAACAAAGCGAGACTGTGTCTCAAAAAGTATAGGATTCGAGTTGTCCAGTGCCACATGCTTAAGAATTGTTAACAAGGTTCAACTTCTAACTCATCTCAAACCTTTACCCTTTCAATATGACATCATGAAGTTTTGTCTAAATGTTACAAGCCTCCAAAATTCTCTAAATTAGCCTTTATGTTAAAACAGTGTCTCCACCTGTTATTAAATAATGTTTTGAACTTTGGCCACCAGATGGTGCTTCTAGAAAAAGAATACAGCATCTTTAAAAATTTCTGGGAGAAATTGTTTGCGCATACTGTTCAGTAATGAGCAGTTGAATTCTCCTCTCGTTGCTAGCCCAATACATCAACATTTGTAGTTACAAGTTTGGATCACTTAAGGTACCAGAGGCCTGTGCATCAGCACTAAGGAACTTTAGCAGAACCAGCCATGATAATTGATGGCAAGTCTCAAACTAAGCCAACCCTGAAACAGGCTTGGTGCAGTGGCTCCTGCCTGTAATCCTAGCATGTTGGGAGGCTTAGGCGGGAGGATTGCTTGAGCTCAGGAGTGTGAGGCTACAGTGAACTGATGGCACCACTGCACTCCAGCCTGGGTGGGTAACAGAGCAAGACACTCTGAAAACAAACTCCTAAACAACCAGCTTTACAAATTAAAAATTCCAGTTAGTGAGTTGTGCAGCCCTGCAAAGTGGCCTTAGAAATACACTGAGAAGGCTTGAGAATAGCCAAGTCTCAAAACTTTGCTTTGAGTTGGATTTGACCAATTATTAGGACAGAAAAAGTGAAGTGCACATTTACTCGAAAGCTTTCCCTCACCATACTGATGAGGTTAGTGGCTTTTATGATGTCCTAATATGTAGGATGGAGATAAAACTCCACCTTGTGCCACCTCTTGATTATTCTTTCCTTGAAAAGATACAGTGAGAGGTAACCAAGAATGTCTCATCAGATACAGAGACTTGAACTCACAATTCTAGTTTTTTGTTCCCAGGAGCTTCTGAGTTAAGGATCAAATGGAAACCTCTTTCTCTGGAGTCTTAAGGTATAACGTTCATAGCAGATCAAATGCCAGAATCATTGACCTTACTGTGTTACACAGGAAGTAGAAAAGCATTTTGAATAGCCCTAGGCCCAGTGTACTGGTTTCTCATTTCTTAGAAATGTCTTATTTTACTAGGCAATAGGACACAGAATGAAGGGCGGCCTTAGGCAAGCATCCACGGAAAAGCAATTGGTCGGTAATAGACTTCTCGCTTTTCAGAAAATTATCTATATTCAGCAGACAAGACAGCATGGAAAGGGCTTATCTTTTTCTTTACACCAAAAATTTGCTTTGTTTATGAGATATACAGAGGGACAAGTCCAATTCATAGTGCGTGGCTACATCCCCAGCACCTAATATAGGCCTGGTGCTCTACAGAGAATAGAGTATTTGGAAAGAGAGGAGGGGTGAAGAAAGTGGGTGTAAAAAAGAAAAAAAGCTTAGAATTGCAACTCTTCAGAGTTCTGAAAGCGTTGTGCCTTCCCCCCGCCCCAGTACATATACACGCTCATTTGTTCTCGTATGGGGAAGGGACCAACCTTGTTATAATAGCCTCTCCTCTGATCTAGGGGCCATAATTTTGAAAGTTTCCACAGTGGACTAAAAGGCCATTCAATTCATGGCTCTGCAAGTAACTTATTTGGGGCAGCTGTGGAATCCTTTGTATCTCACATGATGTCTTGCTGACAGCAAAAAGGTCTCATTTGTCCACAGCTGCTGGTCAGGAAGAGCATAGTTGGGAAGGGAGGCGAGTGGACACCTAGGGGCACAGTTAGGCTTCTCAAACAACACGCAGTCCCTTCACCACCCCTGGACGTGTGAGTTGCTTGCTAGAAATCGATCTGAAAGCCCGATGGCATCCATCACAGGGACAAGAAACCATGGTCTTAAGAATTCAAAGATAAGGATCTTCAAAGTGAGCCACACTCATCAATGTTACCAAGTTGAAAGGTAAGTCATCTGCGAAGCAAGGGGTTTTATGTAGAAAGGTTGTCTAAATATAGTGAAAATTCTGTAGTTTTTCAGAAATTTGGAACTGTTTTCCCATAATCCGGGCCAATAGTAAGGCAAAAACAAAATAAGAAAGAAGTTTCATTTGGTAAGTACAGTTGAAGGGGAAGAAAAGTTCATTCAAGCACATTGGGATGAGGACTTGTTTTTATCTGTCCCAGCTCAGGCAGCACATGAGAAAGTTGCATCTTTCCTCTGTACATGTGCTGTGCTAACCTCAAGTGGACCATCCACACTACACTTGTATAAGAAGGCAGAGCCTCTATCTGAAGTCAAGTAGCTTTTTAATAGACTGAATCAAAAGCCTATTACCAATGAAAACAGGCCCAGATGGCTCAATTCACCCTGCTTTGCTTTTCCACAATCTAGTCTGAGATAGGCCAATAATTTTGGTTTTTTGAGGCAGAGTCTCACTTTGTTGCCCAGGCTAGAGTGAGTGCCGTGGCGTCATCCTAGCTCACAGCAACCTCAAACTCCTGGGCTCAAGCGATCCTCCTGCCTCAGCCTCCCAAGTACCTGGGACTACAGGCATGCGCCACCATGCCCGGCTAATTTTTTCTATATATATATTAGTTGGCCAATTAATTTCTTTCTGTTTATAGTAGAGACAGGGGTCTTGCTCTTGCCCAGGCTGGTTTTGAACTCTTGACTTCGAGCAATCCTCCCGCCTCAGCCTCCCAGAGTGCTAGGATTACAGGCGTGAGCCACCGCGCCTGGCCCAATTTTTATTATTGCCGATAATCATCCCTGGATGGATTGATATCCCTTAATTGGTCAGTAAGGAGAATCTGGGAGAATCAACCAGTTTTATCAACACTTGAGAAAAAGAACCAGCTCGGGTAAGATGCCAGACCGACTGCAGCGTCTCTCGGGAGAGACGGCAACCGCTTGGCAGGGGCACGCGTCCGTGGCCAGCTCTACCCGGCAACTGAACTACGGCTAGCCTATTGATAAAGGCCTGCCCCTCCCAGCAAGATGATTACTATTTACTTCCTCTAACTTCAAGGCTACAACAGAAAAAAAGAGAATAGCAACTAACAGCAGACTGCATTTCTTAAAAAATACTGCCTAATTTGATTTTTAAATATTGCTCAAAAAATATCTTTATAACCTGATGCAGACTTTGTTTTTAAAACAACAGGATAAAGTTGATATTAAAATATTGCAAAACTGATACTGTCCTGCTCTGTTATCAGTTAAGGGGTTGGTACCCTCACCCACCTTTCCTACTGATCACATCACTAGCAGATTTCTACCCTTACAGATCATAGTGTAATATGAAGGGGATGGCTTCTGACTCTTGTGTTTTGATCATTTAGTGGCTCAAAGGAATCACACTTAACATTTAGTAATAGTTTCTACGTAAAGACAGCTGCTTGCCAGCTTGCTCATCCATTGGTCTAAGTAACCTCTTTCCAGGAATCAAATGATTCAAGAGGAAGGGACTGTTGCTTCCTTGTTTCACTGTCCAACAGAAGCATATATTACCATTCTTACATCATGCCACCAACAGTACTTTTATGAACTACCTACTAATATGGGGCTGAAAAATGAAGATGGAAATAAGCAGATCTATAGAGACAAGTAATAAAATTAAAAAATAAAAGGTATGTCTATGCTCTACAATAGGTAAGAATTTGAAAACTGCCCCTGAGAGGTACAGCTAATAAATTAATCTAGCCCTGAATCTGACTTGTCTCCAAAGGGTCAGCTTTAAGAAACCACAGGCTCACTTGACAGGCAAAAGTGCATTTGGATGTGGGTATATTTTTAGTGATGCAGTCTGAGTGCTTTGAGTCCTAGCAGGTTTTCTGCAGATATGAAGAAAGCCACCCGGGTGACTCCAAGAAGACAATGTGAATCAGAACCATTGTTAATGACGCTGTTACCTGGGAGAGGATATGGACTAGTTTGCGTTCATTTTCATGGTCCAACACCATGGTCCTGGCAAAAAGCTAGACACAAGGTAAAGTGCTTCACAATAAATAAAAAGGCAGGGATGGGCCACTAAGTTATTTTAAGATATCTTTAAATATAAATCAAGCCCCAGAGGCAGAAAGGACATCTACCCCAAACTGGCACATTTTAAACATGACTAAGACTTGTAGTCAAAACCCCAGTAACAAAAACCGGGATTTTTTGGTTGTATCCAAGATAAGAAGAGCATATTAAACAAATTTATGACTTAAATTTCCCTTTGAAGTGAGCTTAAAACTGGCATAATTTTGATACTCAAATTAAGTTTGAATAACCAATACAAAAACAGAACTGGATTTTTTTTTTTTTTTTTTTGACTAAAACTGAATTCCAAATCCAAAACAACTTATATAAGGGATGCAGGTTAACAGAAAAAGAGTCAAGACAGCAGTGGTTCCTGAATTTAAAGGAAGGATGCCCACTTCTCTCTCTCAAGAGGCAGATGGTCAGCTGAAAAATAAAAACATTCTATCAATAGAACACTCCAAAGAAAAAATTGCAGCCATCTCTGTACATGCAATATCAATCGTTTAAAAACAAAAAAATCCCAAACACCAAAACAACCCACAAATCTAACAAAAGGAGGGAAAATGTTGCCCAGATCTTATGACCTGATGATTGTTGAGAATCCCGATCGGGCTGTTCAAAATGCTGCTCACAGGACAGAGGACGGGAGTTACCATGAGATCAAGGTTGTGGGCCCTGGGGGTGGTGGCCGGCCACCTCGGGTTAGGGTACGTGCTGTCTTCAGTCCATGAGATCTTGGATCAGCAGCTTCAAGAACACGACAGCTAAGCAAGAGGGTCCTGGCACAAGACCTTGGGTCTTGGCCTAAGTTCTCTGTTTCAATTAATTTCCTTTTAATTAATATTATTATTAAATATTATGTTTTTGGTAGTGGTTAAGTCATTTCAGTATCCACTATGGGCAGTGGTTTATAAACAGACGTTGACAGATACAAACAGCAGTGCGGTATTTGACCCAGACTTTAAAGGAATCGGAGGCGATGATGGAAATGAGGCACACTCTTCCCCACGCGTGTGAACAGACAGCTCCTGCTCCTCTAATGCGCTATGTCCATTAGGAGAGAGCAGGGCTTGTCAACAGCATGGTTACATAAAGAAGAAGCTACAGGAGAGAAAAAAGAAAGGTTCAGATTCAAATTTGATTCTTAAAGTCTTCGAAAAGAAAAAAAAAACTTTTCTACAACGAACTGTGGAAGAACAGCAATGTGCCAGTTACAGGGCGACTTCACTGCGCGCAGCTGCAGCGTCGGGCCGGGGAGGAGGCCCTCGCGGGCCGCAAGGCGCGAGCCGGCAGGGCGGCATGGGCGACAGGGCGGGAGGCATGGGCGGTGAGGTGCAGGGCACCACGTAGCGACTGTCTCGGAGTCGGCACTGCCTGGATGGCAGCGTTGGAAGCCTGCCACGCAAGGTAAGAAAGGACAGGGCTCTGCCACCCTATTTCTTTATTCCAACAGAACAAGCATGTGTACACACACGTCAAGCAGCGACTAAAAAAACTCACACAAGGGCACACAAAACAACGTTTGGGTAAAAATGTATTTCCCCCGCTTTGAGTCTTGGCACTAGTGATATATGCGTAGATTGCCTGTCCGCTGCTCTCCTGCCTTAATAGACACCAAATCACCGAGCACGTCACCAAGTCACGACTTTCGTATGTGAGAAATGGTATACTTCACATCAATACAATTTAGTTTTTTTAAAAAAAGACAAATGTCTAACATGCTGCTTACATAGGACAATTCTGCATTAACATAGAAAGTAGATTACACAACAGTCTTAGAAAACAGTTATTTTCAAATAGCAAAATGACAAAGGATCTACAACTACGGTTTAAGGCATATCAGCATATTTTAAAGAAATAGACAAAAGTTCTAATGCTATTCACAGCTTGATTTTTCAATGTATTTTTAAAAAATCCCTTCATACCTACACACAAACTAGACTTTGCAGGTTGTAATTCCCACTAAAGAGTCACCACCTACATGTCCCGTCAATGGAACCAGAACATGTGGGAGCTGTGATTGGACAATTCCAGACACTTGCCAATGGCAAAACAGAGGGGTCTGCGTGGACGGTTTGGTGGGACCACACAGAGACAGTGCGAGGTGGGTCAGTGATAGCTGGAAACCCTGACTCAGTGTGTACAGGAAACAGGTATGGATGTGGGAAGAAAGCAAGGAAACCAAGTCTATTTCGATTGAGGTGCACAAGATATGCAGCGTAAGTGTCACAGCTGGTGAGTTACAAAGCAGAGAGGGACAATCGTAAGTAACCTGTGTCCAGCATTACATCAATCCCCCTTTTGAGATACCCTTTTTGGACAAAACCTTCACCGATTGATGAAGAGTCTAACCTGGGAAAACAGTCTCTGAATTGCCAATAAATTCTCATAAATGCTTTTCACCACATCCTACAGCACATAAAACTGTTACCGGTATCTAAAGCCCAGAAGTAAAAAGATGGTCGTTATATTTGAACAAAAGATGAAAGCCAGCTGGAGCTACCTGCCTGCCCCCACAAAAAGGTGACCACTGCCAGCAGTTACACCAGGGAGAGACCATTAAACTGAGATAAAATTAAGTGGTCATAAAGGCAGCCTGGCATAAACATTTTTTCCTCTTAGATTGCTCCAGTGGAAGGCAGTAGTTTCTCATTCTAACTGGATCTCTATAGCCAGAGCCAAGGCCCCTCTGAAATATCCAACAATACCCAATGGGTGTTGTTTAGAACATCGGTGGGGATTAGCAATTTTTAGCAGACTTCCACATTGAGATCAAGAAGTTGAATTTATCTGATTCTTGTGGGAAAAAAAATTAGAAATATGGCCATTTAAAATGTATTTGGTTGTTTGGCTTTTATTTAAAAAATAAAAAAAGGCTATTCAAACCATTATCTCCCTACTTCCCCTCTAAAAAAACAAGAAAAAAATCCATCCATCCCATTTGTTTTCTCTAACTTTAAAAAGTCAGAAAGCTCTCAAAGGTTTCTTGCTACTGTACTTACATGCAAAGGCGGACGCACATCCAATTAGATTGGAGGGTGTCATTTATTCCGTGCACAGCCAAGGGCTACTGTGAAAAAAGGCAGACACAGAAAGAAAAAAGCAGCAATAACAAACTAAACAGGGCCAGTGCGCGTGGGAGGAAAAGTTCAGAAGCAACACATTGAAAAAAAGAAAAAACTGCTTCTAAATGTTTCTTTTGACTCTTTATTCCCTGACTCTCCACATATGGTTTATTTTGCTGTGAAAAATGTAATGCCTAAAACAGTAATCAATCATCTTGGAATCAAAAAGTCAGCTGGATGCCTTTTGTTGTTAGGCTCATTTTTTTTTTCAAAGGTTTTAGTGATGCTAGAAGCAGAATTTAAAAGTGTACTTCCTGGTACAAGGCACAAAAACGCTCACACAAACAGTGGTTGAGCAAGCGCACGACACAGATTCCAGCTTTTGCCTGGGGCACACACAGGAGCAAGCTCAGCCCGTGGTTAGCAACAGCATGCCGGCTACTGCATTGGCTGCTCCACAGCTAGCTTCGGACGAGATTAAACACGATCTATACTGGTCCAGTAGCTCCTACACCTGTGAAGACCACTAGTGCTGTTGTTTCTCTTTGCAGTTTCTATTCCACCTTCGTTTGGGCTTCAATGAAACTGATCTTCTTACTTTGCCTAATTAAGCCTTAATCAGTTCATGGAAGAAAGACCATTCCTTCTTTTCTCTAAGTATGTTGAGGACAAAAAGGGAAAAACAAATCTTTGTTGGAATCAAATACAGACTTAATTTTTTTTTTTAATATGTGTCAGGGGAGGTGCACTATCCTATTTACTTACCCCACAAATAGTGAAGGCCAGAAGGAAAATGCAGGGGGAAGTGGGTTCATGAGAAACGTTAGCCTTTCAAGTAAGAAACAGGAGACTACAGTTAGAAGGCTGGGAGGATCTTGTTAGGGAAAAAGCAGATGCGAGGATAAGCATCAGAAAGGAACAGTACAGAAAAGAGATTAAAACACCCTTTTCTGTACAAATTAAGCATGTAGGTATGGGCTGGCATAGGAGGGGTTAGTCCTCATCCTGGAGGAGTCCATAGCCTCAAACACACAGAAAAGAGAGAGCTACTCATGCTCAGGGAAAGGTATGGAACATTCCTTCAAGACAACTGGATTTCAAACTCCAGCTCTTCTGTTTCTTCTTTTTATTGCCAAATATTGAAAGGAGACTAAACAAGCAAGCTGAATGTGAAACATTTCTACTTTCTCGAACTCACTGGTTGTGTTGTGTTCCTTCCCTTTTCCATCTTAAACGGACAAGATCCCTTCAGATTTGTGCTGCTGACGACACAGGGTTTACAGCAGATTTTCTGTGTGAAATATTTGTACAAATTTTCTCCTCTTGATCAGTGAAAATTTTTATTAGAAGCACCGATAGCAGTCATTAGGGTCCTCCCCTCAGCCCAGGGAGAGCAAATTTAGATGTGTTATTATTAAAGATTTTTTATTTTAAATAGTTAAGTAGGTTGTGGGAAGCCCACTATCCTTAGTAGAAGATTCTTCTACTAAAGAATGTTTTATGATCCAACCTTTGAGATCTCTGAGAGAGGGTTGAGGGTGCACCAGCAAGTGTGAACATGATCAGAGTTTTCTTGTACAGAGGACTCCACCTTAGCCAGCGTTTGAAGGTCCGTGTGTTCAGATGCTGTTTGAAGCCATCAGAGGGGCCAGTCTGAATAGACCCACGATCTCAGGCCAGATAATGTTATTGACTAAAGCGAAAATGTCACGCAAGTGTAAAAGTCACACATGATGCTTACCCACTATTCTGTCTACGTACAGATCTACCTTGGTTTGGGGCAAGTGGGGAAGAAAAGGCAGTGAGTTTAGGGGACCATGTGATCCTGGAGAAACCGAGAAAACGCAAGCGGCTGTCACGGCTATTCAGGCTTTTAGTTCGGCTGCAGAGGCGGTCAGAAGTATCCACGTCGGACGCACAGGCAGCAGTGTACCCCACTTTCCTCAGTCCAAAGCCAACACACAAGTGACAGGCCTGCTGCCCGCTGCCATTCGCAACAGGCATAAGAGGCCAATCACTCACTTTCCGGAAACAGAGTCCAGCTGCACAGAGCTTTTGCCGTTACCCCTCGTTCTACCATTTCCCCGCCACCCAACAATATTCAGCAAAATGAGTTATTAGTTATTGGTGTTTGGGGAAGGGTAAAAAAAAATACAAACAAAAAAACAACTAAAGGACACAAATGGCAGAGATACGACATTACTGCAAAAGCAGGTGAATGCGGGAACATCCTTGGCTTGCCAGGCTTTATGTGAAGCTTGCACTGCAAGTTAAAAAACAAAACAAAAAAGTTAGAAATAATAATAAAAAAAGAAAGGAAAATTAGGAGTGGCAGCACCGGCATTCGGCGGTGGCAAATGCTCATGCAATGATCATGGGACTGACAGAAATTAAAATCAAAAACTCAAGTAGGCTATTCTACACAACAAGCAAAAGCAAAAATTTTTAATATTGCATTAAAGAACATATAGTTAGTTTCCATTTGTAATTTAGAATTTGCAAATGACTTCTTGAAACCACTGCATGTTCTAGTGGAAGGATTTGTTTGGTTTTTGTTTTCTCAAATAACAGAACCATTATCTATTATATTAGGTTTGGGTATCACATTAGTATTGAATAGAAGCTTCATCTTCTACTTCTGAGCTGCTGGAGGAGTCAGAGAATAAATATACAATAAATGCCTTTGTACAATTGAAGAAAAGGTCTGAAGTAGCTTGGGGATTGAAATACAGTGGGTGGAGGACATGCTATTAATCTAGTTGGGAAGAGGGAAAAAAGGACAATTATATGGTTACAGCTACAGCAATGCCAGGAGCTTTCCCCCTCTTTTAGGTACAAAGCAATGCCAAACCCAAGACCCACATGTCTGATTTTAGGCAAATCCAAAACATACAACTTTACTCCTTAGCTGGAATAAAAAAAAAAATTTTTTAAAAGATGAGCAGATGGTTACGTAAACTACTTATTAGATGTCAGGTACAATTTTAAAACTTTCTTTTAGGATAGATGCATCGTCACCAGCAAGGGCCTGCTGGTGATTGTGCAGAGTTTTCATAAGCCACGGACACCCCCGACCAGCCCACCCACGGGCGGTCCCCCCACTGCGGCAGAAAGTGACTTGATGGCCAGAGACAGCAGCAGGTAGGGTCCAGCCAATGGCAGTGCCAGGGTTAGCCCTGCTCTGCCTGTGATCTTAGGAGGGGCAACACACTCTCCCACCACTCCAGGTCAAGGAGAAGTGGGAAGCCTTGCCTATGTTAAAAAAGGAGCGTGCGGTTGGAAAAGAAAGAAGAGAATATAAAACGGTCAGAAAAGCTAAGTCAGGCTCCGAGGCGGAAGCGCGGCGGGAAGAGAAATGAGCCTCTCTCTTCACTTCTATCTCAAGCGACGCTGGCTCCTCAGCGGCGGCCCGGCCTGCTCCAGCTACGCCGGGCACGGTCCCGGCTCCCTAGCAAAGCGCTGCTCTGGTCCCTGGCTGCTGTCTCCTGTGGTCCTCTCTAACCACGACGCCACTGCCGCTGGCAGGTACAGGGGTGGCTCTCGACTTTCTTTCTACTTTGGCACTTCAGGCCTCCTCCAACTGGCAGTTACTTTGGTGTAAATAGGAAAGTGTGAGAAAGGGTAAGAACCTAGAAAAAGCAACACAAAGAATGTGTGCCCAAACCTGGTGACAGCTGTGAACCAAATTAAGTCTCAGGCCATGGAAACTAAAGGAGAATAGACAAAGAAGGCTGAAACAACTCACACAGGCCGCACAGGAACTCTGACAGCCCACACACTGGTGAGGCCCCAGGACGGGAGCAGAATACTCTCGCGTGCTCAGCGCGACAGGGAGGCCCCCACCCCGGGAAGCTTGTGACTGGGACTTTTTGTAAACGGAGGCACAATACTGATCAGCTCTTGGGATTTTATTGCTTAAAGGCACATCTAAAGTCCACACAAAATACTCTCTTAGTGTTGCTGGTCTTTTAGTTTTAAACATTTTTAGTTTTAGGACTTGTACCTTTACTCACTTTAGTGCTTCAGGGCGAGAAAAACTGGGCTTTGGGTTTCCTAAACTGTGAGCCGGCAGCTCTGTTTCGTTCATGCCTACAGATGTACGCGCGCGCACACACACGCGCGCACACACACGCACGCGCACACACACGCACGCACACACGCACGCGCACACACACGCGCGCACACACACGCACGCGCACACACGCGCGCACACACACGCACGCGCACACACGCACGCACACACGCACACACACGCACACACGCGCACACGCACACGCACGCACACACGCGCGCACACACGCGCACACACGCGCGCACGCACACACGCACGCGCACACACACGCACGCGCACACACACGCACGCACACGCACGCACGCACGCGCGCACACACACGCGCGCACGCACGCGCGCGCACACACGCACGCACACACGCACGTGCACACACACACGCACATGCACACACACGCACGTGCACACACGCACGCACACACGCACGCACACACGCACGTGCACAGACACACGCACGTGCACACACACACGCACGCACACACGCACGCGCACACACGCGCACACACACACACACACTGTTTATCTTGAGTTAGTTTGGATCAACAGGGCATGACACCAGATGGCTTTGTCTTCACTGGAAAAGTCACTGATCTCTCAATATCTGCACGGGAAGCGTCACAGTGTCAGATACTCTCCCGACATTCATAGCTACAAAGGGTTTCTTTATCATCCAGGCAGTTGTGACTCTCAGAATTAATCCTGCATAACTGCATTTTGGGCCGTTGGACTCTTATGGTCACTTGGGTCTGCCTGTCCCAACCCCAACTAAAATTATGCCTCATCTCACCAACCACTTCTATTATTGTTTAGAAAATCTGCCTACTCCCTTGCTCTTGTGAACACATTTTCTCTTGTCTCAGAGCTCAGAGAGTCCACGCTGGGAAAGCGTGCCGTACAACTCCCAGCGAGTCATGGAGCAGGCCCTGCGGAGGTTACTGCAGGCAGCAGGACGGGATTCCATGGGCCGAGCGCGGCGCCTGACCACGACTGCATGGGCTGACGCGCTGCCTTCTCTTTTCCATACGACAGTCTTAGTTATTGTTGATTAAGAAACTCAATCCTATACAGTGTATTTTTAAAGAATGTCATTCTCTGCCTGCTCGAGTACCAATACTTTTGGTATCTACTTGTCAGCTTTTCCCCTCGAACCTCGGCCTCTAAGGAGGAAGAGCAAGAATCCTGAACAAGTTCTGAATTGCTCTGGGCTCCACCACAGGGCCACCGCGAAGGCATCCTTACCGCCGTGCTCACAGTCACCCAACAGCTATTGTCATAAAACTGCACTCTCTAGTCCTCCTGTGACTCGACGGACAGCTTCCACTCATAGGAGACTCTCCAGGAAGGCCCAACCCCCACGGGATTCAGGCAGCTGCTAGGAAGTGGCCGACTGAAGAACAGAATCTGCCCCTTAGGCACGTTAGGCCAAGGTCCTATTTAGAAGTGTTTTGTGAGTGGCTTTAGTTGGGGCTTGAGGGTTGGCGGGCTGTCTCAACAGGGTGAGCATGTTGATCATCGTCTTACTGAATTTGGAGGAAAGCTAGTGGCCACGTGCAGCCCTTGCAGACACTCTGTCTTGGGAACAGGACTCTCAGTGACAGGCTCACCAAGCCTTACAACACAGAACAGGAAAATAACTGTAACAATCATAATTTTAGGGTGCTTTTTATCAAGAGTCACGAGAACTGTGTCCAGAGGGCACTGAAGAGAGAGGAACCTGTCTTCTTGGAGACCCCTAGCGCTGGTGCAGGCGCTGCTGCAGGCAACGGGCTGCGGCCGCTCCCGGCTGCCCGGGCAGTGCCCCGAGTCAGTCTTTGCGTGCCCTTTGACAATGCCCTAAGAGCCTTTGTCATCTTCCCTGCACTGCAGAGAAAATACTTGCTTTTATCTGCCTGGTAAAAGACCAGTTTCCAGTCTGCAAATGGGAAAAGGAGAGACATGCAAGAGGAATGAATTGTTAGAGGTCCCCCGATAAGAGGGGGTGACACCTGCTTACTTTTTCTTATCCTTGTCTTTCTTGGTTTGCTGGGTGCCAGACTGCTGGGCCTGGGACTGTAGTAGCTGGGCTGCTGCTTTCTTCTTCTGGAAGTTGTTCACCTCCTCCTCAAGCTCCTTCTTCTTGTCTTCTACCTTCTTCTTCTCTTCCTGGTGTGTCCGCTTCAGGAGGTCAAACTTCTCGTGCAGCTGGACAGAAAGTGAGGAGGACAGGCTTGGTGAAGGGGATGGAAATCTTACCTGTGCAAGCATCTTTGGATCTGTCTAAAAAACAAAATACACGTCAAGGGGCCACATTAGCTTTAATCACGGGTATGAAAATCCATTTCAGTGACTTCCTGGAGGGGCTCAGCTAAGCTGCTGGAGAGCAGCCCTCAGAGCCCTAGACTCCTGGGGACAAAGAATTCCTTGGGCGCTTTTCCCGATAGTAAGATAAACATTCATTTTAAAAAGCAGAATGAAGAAGATAAAAATTATCTATGATCTCAACAACAATAAAAATTCACTCTATAGGTAAAAGTGGTTCTTCACTTCTGAGTCCTTTTTTAAAATGTATAAAATACATTTACTTAGAGATACACACAATGACTACAGATATACAGACACACACTACCTATAATTTAAATAATAGAAACATAAACAACGGAAACAAAAACTGGAAAGAAAGGAGAGAGAGGCAAAAAATTCTCACTAGAGAATTCTAGATTCTTTTTTTGGGGGGGGGGCCAGAGTCTCACTCTCTCGCCTGGGCTAGAGTGGTGTCATTATTGCTCACAGCAACCTCAAACTCCTGGGCTCAGGTGACCCTCCTGCCTCAGCCTCCTGAGTAGCTGGGACTATAGGCACGCGCCACCACACCTGGCTAATTTTTTTCTATTTTTAGTTGATTGGCTAATTTCCTTCTATCTTTAGTAGAGACCAGGTCTTGCTCTTGCTTAGGCTGGTCTCGAACTCTTGAGCTCAAGCAATCCTCCCGCCTCTGCCTCCCAGAGAACTAGGATTATAGGCGTGAGCCACCGCGCCCAGCCGAGAATTTTAGATTTTTACTCAACATCCACATGATTCTTACAGCCAACAGCAAATAAGCCTCAACTTTCCTTTCTCTGCAGCAAAACCATCTCGAGTATTTGGCTATTCAAATAAACTCTACATTACAGTAATTTTTATGACGATAAATTAAAACAAGATAATGAGGAAATTATTCAGATACTTTTCATTTAGAGATGTGCTGAGCTAAAGGGCAGACACTTAGGGCACTCCGTATCCACCCCCAGGAGCAGGTGTTCTGCACACACATGCACTCTCGGATACAGTCAATCTGGCCTGAGCACAGGGCCAGGCGGGCTCAGAGGGCACTGGAGCAGCGAGCGTGAGCCCAGCAAAGGAGACCCCGGGCATGGCCGTGGAGGACGGGCTTTGGGTTGGGCCACGTCCACCAGCGAGTGCCAAAGGCCCTTCCGCTGTTCAGCTCCCCGGGTTGTCTGGCAGACTAAGATAATAATAATAATAATAATAGTCCCAGAATCCCAAGTCTCGCATTACAAGACTGTGAATTGAGGAAACAGCTAGAAAGACCACATGATCAGGTCTGGAGACCTAAGATCTAGTTTTAGTCCTGGTTTTGCTGCTGACTAGGTACGGGACTGCAGAAACAGCTAACCCTTCACTACTGTTTATCATCTGTAAAATGGGGATAAGAATATCTGATTCCCTTTTCCTGCCAGGTGGGTATGTCACTTGTTATAAAATGTACGTAGGTAGTACTTGGACCATCACCATGCCCCACGAATGTGGAGTATTAATAAAATACCTCCGTCACGTTTCTTTCCCTGGAAAGAGAACAGACCACTTACTTCTTTCTCTGCCTCTTTAAGTTCGGCTTCTTTCTCCTTCACTCTCATGACGAACATTTGTCTCATTTCTTCTTCTTTCTTCTGCAGTTCTCCTAGGAATTCATTCCTCTTTGCTTCGTATGTCTCCTGAAGACTATTCAAAATCCACAAACCAAGGGCGGAGTCACGAGACTGCATAGTAAACGTCTGTCCGCACGATTTCTACCCACCCACCGAGGAGCTGCCGCCGACCACAGGAAGCGCGGACGGAGCGGCGGCGGCCACCGCAGTCCCGCGGCCAGAGACCCGCGCACCGCGCACCGCAGTCCCGCGGCCAGAGACCCGCGCACCGCGCACCGCAGTCCCGCGGCCAGAGACCCGCACCGCGCACCGCAGTCCCGCGCCAGAGACCCGCGCACCGCGCACCGCATCCCGGGCCAGAGACCCGCGCACGCGACCGCAGTCCGCGGCCAGAACCCGCGACGCGCACCGCTGTCCCGCGGCCAGAGACCCGCGCACCGCTGTCCCGCGGCCAGAGACCCGCGCACCGCTGTCCCGCGGCCAGAGACCCGCGCACTGCTGTCCCGCGGCCAGAGACCCGCGCACCGCGCACTGCTGTCCCGCGGCCAGAGACCCGCGCACCGCTGTCCCGCGGCCAGAGACCCGCGCACCGCGCACTGCTGTCCCTCGGCCAGAGACCCGCGCACCGCGCACCGCTGTCCCGCGGCCAGAGACCCGCGCACCGCGCACCGCTGTCCCTCGGCCAGAGACCCGCGCACCGCGCACCGCTGTCCCTCGGCCAGAGACCCGCGCACCGCGCACCGCTGTCCCGCGGCCAGAGACCCGCGCACCGCAGTCCCGCGGCCAGAGACCCGCGCACCACGCACCGGGACGGGCACGCGCTGACGGGGCGTCTGATGGCCCGCTAGCGCGCATGCTCGCTCGGCGGTGGCCCGGCGGGGCACTGGCGTCGCACAGACCGCTCGACTCTGGCCACGCGAAGGAGCCATCTGGAAACGACACCTCCCCGAGCCACCGGCGCGGCGCGGGCGTGACTGCGAGCACGGAACGCAGCGCCTGAGCGAGGCTCTGGCGTGCGGGTGACTCGGTGCCTAGTGCTGCCTCCTCCCACCTGCCTCCCCGTCCAGCAGGGAGACAGGCGCGGCCAGCAAACCAGACAGGACGGCATCGAAAATGCCGCCTTCCGAGTCACCTCGCCAACCGGGACGTGAGCAGGGAGGAGTTTCATGCTCATTCTGACCACCCTCCTGCCGGCTGTCTGCAGAATTGAGAGCCCAGTATTTTACACTGAATGTCACAACTCAGCTTGGCCTCTCAGTCGGAACAAATGTATTGACGGAGAAATCATTTTGGAAACACCCCTTAAGAAAACAGGTCCCTGTCCCCACCCTACACACAGACACTTGCTGATGTTGTATAGGTGCTATTTCTGTCTCTCTCTCTCGTCTTTTTTTTTTTTTTTTTTTACATTTTTTGTTGTTTTTGAGACAGAGTCTCACTCTGTTGCCCGGGCTAGAGTGCCGTGGTGTCAGCCTCGCTCACAGCAACCTCAAACTCCCAGGCTCAAGCAATCCTCCTGCCTCAGCCTCCCGAGTAGCTGGGACTACAGGCATGCGCCACCATGACCCGCTAATTTTTTTTTCTATGTATTTTTAGTTGTTTGGCTAATTTCTTTCGGTCTTAAGTACAGACGGGGTCTCGCTCTTGCTCAGGCTGGTCTCGAACTCCTGACCTCCAGCAATCCTCCCACCTCGGCCTCCCAGAGTGCTAGGATTACAGGCGTGAGCCACCCACCGCGCCGTTTTTCTATCTCTTGCAGTTTTCCTAGAACAGCAGCTGTGTAATCTAAGGCTGCAGTGTCACCTCCCTTTACCTGCGGACCAAATTCAGCCAAAGCACAAACCGCAGACTCTCCAGCAACTACCGAAGACCCCGGGCTGGGCACGGCCCCACCACACCCACACCTGCCCGCTCAGCAGGAAGCAAAGGAAATACGGGCGCGAGCTCATGTGCGCGTAGGTGCGCACGTCTATAATGAATTAAACAGTTCGTTTCGCATTAGGAAACTAATCAGGCTGGTTTATGCTTCTATAATTATCAATAACATTCTCATTAGTTTATTAAAAATAAATTCTTCTGCCCTCAACACTGCCAAGGTTACCTGTTTATGAACAGTCAAGTGTTTTAAGTTTCCAGAGATAACTTTCACATTATCTTATGAGACAGAGATGAGTTTAGCCGATGTTAATGTTTGCTAATATTAACAGCAACTTGGACTTGTTTAAGATCTATAGCCATAGAGACAGAGCACTGTGCTGATAACAGAATATAACATAATTTATAAATTTTATTTTGCTTATATAATAAACCCTTCGTCACTACTATTTGGGTCAGAATTGCCAATGGCAGAGGATGACTGATCCCTGCTGTGAAATTTTATAGAAAACTCGGCTTTTGTTGATTTCAGGATAATGAATATGTCTCTCTCTTCTTTCTAACAAGCAGTGTAAAACCTTTTATGGAAACATCACCTGAAATGTATCCCAGAGGTCACTGGTTTCAAGAGATGTTCTCCAAAAGAGGGGCTCCAAAGTCAAGGGCATGTAGAGAAGAGGCCCTGTGCCTCCTTGTTCGGGGTCCCAGCCTGGCCCAGGGCAGGGTCAAGTGATGCCAACCTGGCTAGAAGTTAACTTCTTGGTTAGCAGCTCTGTCTGCGGTCTGCATTTGCTCTCATCAAATACACACACGTTCATGGAACTCCATGATGGCACTGTACCAGGGGACCTGCCAAGACATCCCCAAAGTCTAAAGCAGTTCCCAGAACATCAGCCCCTCTGCCCCATGGCAGCTCAGACCCAAGTGGACAGAATCCGCCACACTGTGCACTGGCTGCCTCAGGCTCCGCAGCCACTGGCTTCTAGACATCAGAACGTGTTACATCGCTGGCCTCAAAAGAGGAGGAAATGGGTTTTCCAAGGACGTGGCCAACTGGCAGAGGCATGTAGCCCAGGCACACCTCGCACCGCTTCAGCTCAGATCCCCATTAAGAAAGTGCTTGTGGCCGGGCGCGGCGGCTCACGCCTGTAATCCTAGCACTCTGGGAGGCCAAGGAAGGACTGCTCAAGGTCAGAAGTTCGAAAGCAGCCCCAGCAAGAGCGAGACCCGTCTCTACTAAAAATAGAAATTAATTGGACAACTAAAAATATATCGAAAAAATTAGCCAAGCATGGTGGCGCATGCCTGTAGTCCCAGCTACTTGGGAGGCTGAGGCAGGAGGATCGCTTGAGCCCAGGAGTTTGAAGTTGCTGTGAGCTAGGCTGGTGCCACGGCACTCTAGCCCAGGCAACAGAGTGAGACTCTGTCTCAAAATAAAAAAAGAAAGTGCTTGGGATCCATCTAGATCATTCTCTCCTCCACCAGGAGCTGGCGAACCTGGCCTGGCAGCCTCGCCTTCTGCCATTCACTGAGCCTGGTAAGGGCAAGGACAACCCTTTTACCTGAACTCCGACAGGGACTGGGCTTTTGCTCGTGCCCCAATCCTACATTCATTTCTCCCCTTTGCATTCTGCATCTTCATCCTTCAATGATGAGCAAACACAGAGATTTTCTAAAAGCTATTCCCTTCCCTACTGTTGAGCTGTTGGTAGAATTGTGCTGACCCACTGAACGCTGGTAAGAGACTTGGAAAAGAAGAGCCTCGGGAAGTTACACGTGTCTGGCGAAAGCGCAGGGGCAAGCTGTGGGCGGCGGGCCCTGCGCATGCCTGCCCGGCGGCGGCCGTCTGCAGAGGCCACGCGGAGAGGCCCGGGCGCGGGGCCGGGGCTGGGCTCGAGGCCAACCCGCCCACCGCTCACTGCCCACGGGCCCTTGGCCGCGGTGCTCGCACCCTCACCGCCTTCGCCTCCTCTGCCAAACGCGGACGGTGATAACGACATCACTTCCATTAGGCAGTTGCGACGTGCAAACGGAAGTGGGGGCCGCAATGCTTGCGACGGGTGCTAGTGATCCCCCCATCGAGACTATCTCAACCCAGCAAGCATTTCTTTTGCTTTTTTTTGAGACAGTCTCACTCTGTTGCCTGGCTAGAGTGCTGTGGCATCAGCCTCGCTCACAGCAACCTCAGACTCCTGGGCTCAGCGATCCTCCTGCCTCAGCCTCCCGAGTAGCTGGGACTACAGGCATGCGCCGCCATGCCCGGCTAATTTGTTCTATATATTTTTAGTTGGCCAATTAATTTCTTTGTATTTTTAGTAGAGACGGGGTCTCGCTCTTGCTCAGGCTGGTTTTGAACCCCGGACCTCGAGCCATCCTCCCGCCTCGGCCTCCCCGCTGCCGGGACTACAGGCGTGAGCCCCGCGCGGCCGCACGCGCATTTCCGCGACGCGCCACCCTCGCCCGCACGGACCTGAAGGGCTTGCTGTCGGGGTCGCGGTCCTGGAAGCCCATCTCCTCCAGCTTGCAGCGCCGGTACAGCTCGTAGTGGCGCGCGTGCGTCTGCTCGCGCAGGTCCTCCATGTTGACGCGCACCAGCATCTCGCGCAGCTTCACGAAGTCGCAGTGGCTCTCGTTCTCCACTGCAACACACGCGGTGTGCGCGGGCGCGGTGCGGGGCGCCACCGCCCCCCGCTTGAGGACCGCTGGAGGTTCCCCCGCGGCCCGGCGCAGGCGAGACCCGGGCAGCCCGCGAGGCTCGGGCGCCGGCCCGCGCAGACGGCACTCTGGATTCAGACCCAGCTCCACCGCTCCGCGCCGTCTAGACCGCGCAGGGTTCACACCTCGCCTCATTTACTCGTGTCCGCGCCACCGAGGAAAGGGGTCTTCTCAGCGGTGCCCCGCCCCCCCGCGCCCCCAGCCGCGCGCCAGGAGCGACCGCCCCGCCCTCCCGCCGCGGCCACCGGCCACCGCGAAGACCGCGAACGCCACTGCGGAGGGACGGCGGCCGCGCACGTACCCTGCACCACGCCCCACGGGTACTGCCTGGCCTTGGCCATCTTGTTGCCGACCTTCACCTCCTCCGTGCTGCCGACCACCGCGAACGGGAGGTGCACCTGCCGAGCAAGAGCGGACGCTGCGTGACCGTCGGCTCCGAACGCGCTCTCCCCAGCCTCCACCCTCTCCTGCCTCCTCCTGCAGGCCTCCGCCCCGCGGCCAGGGAAGGAGACGCGGAGGGCAGAAGGGAGCCGCTGGGCGCAGCTCGCGCGAGGGGACGCGCGGCAGCCCCGCCTACGTGCGGCCCCTGAGCACTCGAAACAGGGCTTGTAGGGCCAAGACACTGAATTTTTAACTTTTAATTTACATTGAAATTTAAAATGCAGGTAGTGCCGGGCATGGTGGCTCACATCTGTCATCTCAGTGCTCTGGGAGGCTGAGGTGGGAGGCCTGTTAGAAGTTAGGAGTTCGAGACCAGCCTTAGCAAGAGAGCCCATGTCTACAGAAAATAGAAAAATTAGTGGTGTAGCAGCGCATGCCTGTAGTCCCAGCTCCTCGGGAGGCTTAGGCAGGAGGATCACTTGAGCCCAGGAGTTTGAGGTTGCTGTGAGCGAGGCTGATGCCACGGCGACAGAGCAAGACTCTGCCTCAAAAATAAATAAGTAAATAAATAAATGCAATGTAATATGTAATGAAAATCTTTTTCATTACATATAACTGTATTATTTTGGTAAAACTGCATTCACTTTGCATCAAATGCAAGCCAAATCTTCTAAAAATGAAGACCAGTTTTGTCAAGGTAGAACCAAATATTAAAGAAAAAGCATCTTTTTGGCACTTATTCCATATTGAAAAACTTGATAGGAAAAATTTGGGTATGTGAATCTACTTTAAGTGTACAGTGCTACCATTATTACATAGCTCTGAATACTCCTAACCAGAGAATTTTAGAGGCAAAAGAGAACTGACATATCATCCAGTTCAATCCTGCTTAAGGGTTCTCTCCCCAGCACCTTCCTCAGTGATCTGGGGCTGAATCTCTTGTCCTCCAACCACTTGCGACAGGAACTCGCTATTTCCCACGAACTAAGCTGTTTCTTCCATCGCCACGGCTCCAAAAGTTAAACTTTCACTTAGTAATGTTGACATCGCCATAGCTGACAGAAACTTCAAACTCTGGACTCAAGCGATCCTCCTACCTCAGCCTCCCAGGTAGCTGGGGCTGCAGAGGTGCACCACCACACCTGGCTAATTTTTCCATTTTTTTGTGGAGACGGGGTCTTGCTATATGTTGCTCAGGCTGGTCTCAAACTCCTGGGCTCAAATAATCCTCCCTCCTCAGCTTCCCAAAGTGCTAGGATGACAGGCGCGAGCCACCGCGCCCGGCCTTCGTTTTGGTTCTTTTGCACAGTCCGGCAGTCTCCCTTGTGGCAGGCTGCCTGTCACAGCCCACGGTCCTATTTCCCAGGGAGGGTCTGCTCTCCAGCTTCTTGCAAAGATTCCAAACCTTTAGCTACCTTGAATTCCAGCCACCATCACTGGGCATGGAGCACGTGCAAAGAACGCTGTTTTACCGCGGCCGCCAGCGGCGCCCTGCGACCCGCAAAGGAGCGGCCAGCACGAGCCTCGCCAGGAGGGGCTGCGTCGGGAGCACACACCGCCCGCGCTATCACTTGTCCCTGACAGCTCTCTGCCATGTGGAAACAAACGGCAGCGTCAATTGCCAGGTCACCTGACGATTCAGGGAGGAGCGGGAGAACGGGAGGGCAGGCAGGAGCCAGTCCCCGAGCAGCACTGAGACAGGCGGACGAGCAGAATGTGTTTGCCTTGGAGCTGCTTGTGTCGCATGGTGCTGGGCTGGCGTCTCCCCCCCAGGATTCGCCATGGAAATCAGAACTGTCAGAACTGCACAGCCGGGCGCCGCGGCTCACGCCTGTGACCCCAGCACTCTGGGAGACCGAGGCAGGAGGATTGTTTGAGCTCAGGAGTTCAAGACCAGCCTGAGCAAGAGTGAGACTCCATCTCTACTAAAAATAGAAAGAAATTAGCCAAACAACGGGGCACGTTGGTGTGTGCCTGTAGTCCCAGCTACTCAGGAGGCTGAGGCAGGAGGATAGCTTGAGCCCCGGAGTCTGAGGTTGCTGTGAGGGAGGCTGACGCCACGGCACTCTAGCTCTGGCAACAGAGTGAGACTCTGTCTTAAAAAAAAAAGAACTGTTAAGAGTGGGAAGGGAAATTTGAGATCATCTTGTCTAACTCTCCCATTCACAGATGGAGAAACTGAGGAGCAGACTGGTCACATGACTGGCAGTGGCAGAGCTGGACCACAGGATGGGAGGTTCCCAGTCCAGAGCTCTGGCCACTGTGCCATGCCACCCCTGGGAATTGCTTCCAGGAAGACCCCTCGCTCCCGTCTACTCCAGGACGTACGCTCATTGTCGCGTTGATCTCCGCCACGGTCTCTTCGTCCGTGGGGAACTGGTAGATCTGCACCCCGTTGCTGACGAGCTCGCTCATGATCTTGCTCTTGAATCTGTGCAGCTCGTTCTTGGCGATGGTGTCAGCTTTTGCGATGATTGGAATGATGTTCACCTGCAAGACAGACAGGCCCGTTTTACACCATTCCAACGTCAGAAGAAATGATCACAGGAGCAAATAACACACAGCAAACAAATAAAAATTGCAGAACCTCACTGTAAGAAACAGAGATACTATGGAAAATGAGACTTTCTACTTGGATGCAAAATTAACAAAACTGTGGGATCATCTTCTAGTTCTATCCTTGAACACTTTTCCTCCCTCCCAGCCTGCCCTGAAAGCATACCTGTCATTTCCTCTCCTGAGCTGCCTCATCCTTTGCAGAGTAAGAGGAAGTGTTACCATTCTACAGCAAATAGTGATAACAAAGAAGTCTGTTCTTTGAGTAACCAACCATTCCTTCTAGGCCCCTTCCAGCCACTTTTAGGCTCCTGAGTTTTACAAACTCCAACAGACAGCTGGACACTCAGCTCTACACACGGCAACCCTTTCTTTCTTTCAATAACCTGAAAATTCCTCGGAGGGGAGAACCTAACTATTAACCCAAACAAAAATGGTTTCACCTACCTTTAAATTGTTCAAAATCACACAAACTAATTCTTCTGAAAATTGGCTTCTCGATCAAATTATTCATTGGTGTCAGAATGAGAGCCAGGGCCAAAAGCAAGGGTCAGTTTCAGACAGTTACAAAGAACCGGGAAGAACTCAGAGCCAGTTGAGAGCTGGCTAGGGTGCCAGCTCCAACCCCCCACATGGGATATTCTTTTCCCAACTGTCCCTAGGCCCCCACAGGACACATTTTAAAACTCCATGTTTTATGATTAACTTTCTTCCATTCCCTGGTAGGAACAGAGGTTTCAATAAGCTGCCACTGATACCTGATATCTAGCACTGAAGAGAATGGACCCTAAGGACTCAGGGAGAAAGCTGTCCTGGCCGGGAAACAGAGGTTTTCAGGTCATGCCTGCATTCCTTTGCTTCTCCTTTTGTCCAAAGGGCCAAATCAGAACCCCTGATAAACCAGAATGAGATGACAATACTGAAAGACAGACCTATTTTTCAGCTCATTCCTCACCCCAAGCAGAGGTTCATATTTTCTTGGTCAAACTGATCACAGTAGACAAAGAAACCACACCATTTAGTTTTAAATGTCCTTCTCCTCATTGGCAGGAGACTGAAGGTCTCTGAGATGATAATGTACCTGCTTGAGCCCTTCTCTACTTGTATAAATGAGACTTTAACAACTCCATTTTCAGATGCTGCCTAGCTCTCCAACTCTGCAGTAATGCCGGGTCTTTGAAAGTTTCACCTGCTTTGTATTATAGTTGTCGTCGTTGTTTTCTTTTTTTGAGACAGACTCTCACTCTGTTGCCCAGGCTAGAGTGAGTGCCGTGGCGTCAGCCTCGCTCACAGCAACCTCAAACTCCTGGGCTCAAGCGATCCTCCTGTCTTAGTCTCCCAAGTAGCTGGGACTATAGGCATGTACCACCATGCCCGGCTAATTTTTCTATTTTTAGTAGAGATGGGGTCTCGCTGTTGCTCAGGCTGGTCTCAAACTCCTGACCTCAAATGATCCTCCCACCTCTGCCTCCCAGAGTGCCAGGATTACAGGTGTGAGCCACCGCGCCCAGCCGGGAAAGTGTCTTTTATTTTATTTTTTTTAATTTCTTAAAATTATTTCCTGGATGAGGTTCTGGGGCCCCAAGAGAAGGGGGCCCCAGAAGTTGCCTGAAAGTGTCTTTTAAACAATGTTGTTTGGACCCAGAAAAAAGACACTCAATGAAACCCTCCAAAGGGCTTTATCATCTAAGGGAAAATACTAACCATGGCTTAGTTTTCTGATTGTTCTTGTTGCCATTTGCTTCATCTTTATTCCACAGTGTATTATCTTGTATTTATTTCAAATGAAAATCAAGTTAATTATAAAGTAGAGCATGAAATTTTATCAAGCATTTCGATCCCTTCCTTCACGTGTTGTGAAAAAGAAAGGTTATAAACGTGGCAAGCTCAGGGATCAAACTGAAATAAAGACTTGACTTCTTCTGAACACATGCGTGCAGTTTGGTTTTAAAATCTAAGAAGTGGCTAGACATGGTGGCTCACACCTGTCATCCTGGCACTCTGGGAGGCTGAGGCGGAAGCATCACTCAAGGTCAGGAGTTCAAAACCAGCCTGAGCAAGAGTGAGACCCCGTCTCTACTAAAAATAGAAAAGAAATTAATTGGCCAACTAAAAATATATAGAAAAAATTAGGTGGGCATGGTGGCGCATGCCTGTAGTCCCAGCTACTCGGGAGGCTGAGGCAGGAGGATCGCTCGAGCCCAGGAGTTTGAGGTTGCTGTGAGCTAGGCTGACGCCACCGCACTGTAGCCCCAGCAACAGAGTAAGACTCTGTTTCAGAAAAAAAATATATATATATGTAATAAAAATATATAATACATATATATCCACATAGACAAAAAAAATTAAGACTTTTATTCCATTCTAAAGTTTTTGAATGAAAGCAAAATATTTAGAAACCTTTTAGAGAACACTGTCTAAGAAAATAAATAAGCCTTGAATCTATGTGTCAATTTCCTATCTAAGAACTAAACATACTGCGCAGCAAGCCACATGGTTTTGTTCGCTAGTTTTGTTTTGGTTTTCCCTCACAGACAGGATTCGGACGTCTTTCTTCACGTGGCCAAACCCTGCGGTTCTGCAACACAGAGAAACGGGACGCCAAAGGCAGAGAGCAGGTAGGGCACCTTGCTGTCCAGCTTCTTCATGGTGACCAGGTCCAGGGACTTGAGCGAGTGGCCCGTGGGCGTGATGAAGTACAGGCACACGTGGATCCGCGTGTCGTGGTAGTCGAAGAGCGAGCGGCGGATCTTGAGCTCCTCCTGCAGGTAGGCCTCGAACTGCGCGTCGATGTAGTCCACGATGGGCCTGTAGCTGGGACGCAGACGGGCTGGGTCAGACCCTTCCGGAGCCGCGCCGCTCGCGCGCACGCCCTCCCCGCCAGCGCCGCCCCCTTTGCCCCGCCGGCCGAGTCCCGGCCCTGCTGGCGGCCCGGTGCCCGCCGCCACAGCCACGAGGGCGGCCCGCGGCCGCCACAAGCCAACGAGGCGGGCCGCGGCCGCCGCACAACCCACGAGGCGGCCGCGCCGCGCCGCCAACAAAGCCGAGGGCGTGGCCCCCCGGGCGCCGCAACCAAGCCACCGGGGCGGCCCGCGCGCCCCCCAACCAAGCACAGGCGGCCCGCGGCGCGCACAAGCCACGAGCGCCCGTGGGCCGCCCACAGCACGAGCGGCCCGGCGCCGACAAGCACGGAGGCGGCCCGCGCCGCCCCAGCCACGAAGGGCGGCCCCGCTGCCGGCCAACAAGCCACGGGGCGCCGGTGCCCGGCCGCCACAGCCACAGGGCGGCCCGGTGCCCCGGCCGCCAGCACCACGAGGGCGGCCCGGTCCCGCCGCCACAGCCACCAAGGCGGGCCCCCGCCGGCCACAGCCACGAGGCGGCCCGGGCGCCCGCCACAGCCACGAGCGCGGTGGGGCCCCGCCGGCCACCCAGGCACGAGGGCGGGTGCCCCGCGCGGCCGACAAGCCACGAGGGCGGCCCGCGCGCCGCCACAGCCACGAGAGCGGCCCCGCGCGCCGGCCCTTCTGCGTCTGTGTCCTGGTCCCTGCGGCCTCTGCAGTGAGCGGCCTTCCCGCGGCCTCCTCGCCGCGCCCGCGCCACGGGCCATGTGTCGCCGCGAGCTGCGGCCCCTCCCGGCCCCGCGCAGCCGCCGCTGGAGCCCGTGGCGGTGCCGCCGGCGCCGGTAAGGCCCAGAACCGCCGCGCCGGCCGCCGCGATCCTCCAGACACCTTCCAACTTGAAAATCCTACGATCTGAAGGTAAAGGCCATCACCCTCTCTCCCCTCACCAAATCCTTAAAACCCTTTCCGGAGAATTACGTGCGTGTCTATAAACACAGCCGCCAATAACACGCGGGACACACCCGCAGCACGGCTCTCCAGGGAGGAAGGGCGAGCGGGCGGGGAGGCCGCGACTCTTTCTGGCCTCCTTTCTGGCCTCCGCGGGAGGACTCAGGAGGAGCCAATCTCGGCAGCAAAGGCCTGGTCTGATGGGGACGCAAACAGTTAGCCCTTCCCGGACTGACGCTCTCTGAGGGAGGACTTAAGCTTTAAGAAAAAAGCTTTTCAACATCCAAATCCCAGACTCGTAAATTAAACTGAAATCCTTAAAAGGAAACCACCCATCTTTCATGAGAAGGGTGACAGCGGACGTCCTAAGAGGAAACACAAACCACCAAACCCCCAGATGTGGGACCCAAACTGAGAGCAATTACAAAAAGCTTTTTGATGAGACTTTGCTTTGGCGATTTATCACAATCCACTGGTTTAATATGAGTAAGCAAAATCTTGAGAGGTTTAAAACACAAAGGTAGAATGTACCTCAAATAAAGTCCCAAATCATGACAGGCAAAATTCCAAAGAAAAGCATGAGCGAGTGGTGAAACTCTTCTAAATTCTCCAATTTTAAAATATAGGCCTATGTGTTTCATAAGAACAATAATTGTTATTATTTTTATTATGAGACAGTTACAGAAGACGGTGGTTATTACATACACGGATTCAAACCAGACTGCCTGAGACCATGATATAGCTGCACAACTTACCACCAGTAGCTGTGTGGGCTTAGGCCAGTCACTAAACCTCTCTGTGCCTCTATTTCCTGGTGAGTAAATTAGGAACAAAAACAGTCCCTCCAAAAGAGAACTATGATGACAAATAATGAGCCTAAATATATGTAAAGAACTGGCATATAAAAGATTAACTATTTCACAATAATACAATAAAAAACAAGTACTATAAATATAAGAAAAGCAAGCCTAACTTTTTAAAAATACAAATAAAGAGAGGAAGAAATTTATACTCGCCCAATTCCCTGCCTGCAGGGAGTGGACCAAGCATTCCAACGTGCTACCCCCGGCCTTGCAGCCCAGGCTGGTCCTGCAGCCTCCGGACGCTGAGGCAGCTGCTCAGGGCTCCAGGCCCTTCCCTAGCCCCCTTTGCCCCAAGGGAGGGAAAGCACCCCACGGCAGTTGCTCTTTCCTGCCTCCCCAGTTTGTGATTTCTTTTTTTTTTTAGACAGAGTTTCACTCTGTTGCCTGGGCTAGAGTGCCGTGGCGTCAGCCTCGCTCACAGCAACCTCACACTCCTGGGCTCAAGCGATCCTCCTGCCTCAGCCTCCCGGGTAGCTGGAACTACAGGCACGAGCCACCGTGCCCAGCTAATTTTTTCTATATATTTTTAGTTGTTTGGCTAATTTCTTTCTATTTATAATAGAGATGGGGTCTTGCTCTTGCTTAGGCTGGTATCGAACTTCTGAGCTCAAGCAATCCTCCCGCCTTGGCCTCCCAGAGTGCTAGGATTACAGGCGTGAGCCACCGCGCCCGGCCTACATGATGTTTTCTTTCCATCCTAATTGCCCACTGATCATTCTTGCAAAAAATGGCCAATGTTCACACAGCTGAGCTTTTGGAAAAATAAATTAAAAATTAAAGTGTAATAAATTACACTTTATGTAGCACAGTATAATTTATGTCATAAAATTTAAAAATATTATATATCAAAAATATAAAATTTAAAAAAATGGTCAATGCCATCATTCAGGGACTGACTCCATTCATATGTAACCAAACACTGGATGTTTTTCTCTTATCTTGCTGTTAGCTAGAGACAATTTTCTTTATCTCTCAACTACCTCTCCCAAAATGTGATAAAAACATATAATGTAAAGGCCAAACAGCCTGCCTCCCTAGTATTTTGTAACTCTGATAATCAGATTTGCTGAGTTTGAGGATTCTCTCTGAATGGATTTCAATTATCCACACTTCTCAGGCCCGATCATTACCGTCGGGGATACGCCATGTGGCGCCCACCTCTCAGCTCCCAAATGTGGGGCAAATTAATTGCTCTCTTTCCAGCTGGACAAGACGACTTGATTTTCCCTTCTTCTCCAGACCCCTTTCCTTCTCCACTGAAGAGTACAGGCGGCCCAAACAAGGAAGCCCTTAAACAGCAAAGAGTTAAACGTGCTGTTCAACGCAGCAGCGATAGGGAACCTCACAGATCTGGCTTCCTGCCCGCTTCTAGACGCAGGGAGGCTGGCTGGGCAAAGCCTGCATAAACACGCTGGGACGGTCTTGAAGTCTTGCGTCTATGGCAGAAAAGCTTGGCTAATCCCCAAAGCAGCAAAAATAACCATGGGTTTAGAGAAACGGGCATTCCTTCCCACATGGTTACATACAGATGCAAAAATGCATATCCCACTTCCAGTTTTTGGAAGCAGAGCCTGTCCGAATAACTATTTTTAAACAAGCAATCCGAGTTTATAGTTCACCAATGCCGTCTGAAGTGCAGGGAAACGTAGAGTTTGGTTTTTTTTTGGTTTGTTTGTTTGTTTGTTTTGAGACAGAGTCTCGCTTTGTTGCCCAGGCTAGAGTGAGTGCCGTGGCGTCAGCCTCGCTCACAGAAACCTCCAACTCCTGGGCTCAAGCAATCCTGCTGCCTCAGCCTCCTGAGTAGCTGGGACTACAGGCAAGCACCACCGTGCCCAGCTAATTTTTTCTATGTGTATTAGTTGGCCAATTAATTTCTTTCTATTTATAGTAGAGACAGGGTCTCGCTCTTGCTCAGGCTGGTTTCGAACTCCTGACCTTGAGCTATCCGCCTGCCTCGGCATCCCAGAGTGCTAGGATTACAGGCGTGAGCCACCGCGCCCGGCCCAATGTAGAGTTTTAAGTACCACTTACAGAGGTTATGCAATAGCTGTCGAGAAATTTCAGGGGGAAAAAAAATATTTGGTATCTAGGTTAGGTTAATATCACACTTCCTGTCTTCTAAATCTCCTTGGAAACTATTATTTGACCCAAATGAGTCAGATAATTTTTTTTTTTTTTTTGAGACAGAGTCTCACTCTGTCGCCCGGGCTAGAGTGCCGTGGCATCAGCCTCGCTCACAGCAACCTCAAACTCCTCCTGCCTCAGCCTCCCGTCTCGGCCTCCCAGAGTGCCTGGATTACAGGCGTGCGCCCCCGCGCCCGGCACGGGTAACTCCTTTAAGATGACTCCAGCCGCAAACACGAGGCTGTGCACCGGGACGGCCGCGCGGTGCTGGAGTGAAAGCCCCAGCTCAAGGCGAAGCTCGTGCAGGGGCGAGGCCATGAGGCCGAGCAGGGAGAGCACCCGGAATCTCAGCAGAGCCGGCGTTCTGCGAGCCCGAGCGAGGGAGGCTGGGGGAGGGAGGCTGCAGTCCTCCATCAGGGAGCGCACAAGCTCCACGACTGGCAGCCCCAGGGAGAAATGCCCCGGTGTGAGGCGGGAACAGCCCTGGCCCGGAGTGTGCTCTGTGACCACGCGGTGGCCGGAAGGCCCTGGCTCTCTCCCCAGCCCCACGACTCACCTGTCCCTTTTCTTGTCACCAGGGTTTTCTCTTCACTGATTGCACTTAGGATGACAAACAGCCTTCAGGCAGTCACTGGAGGTGGTACATTAAGAGCCACGTGAGGCTCAGCTGCAGAGTGAGGCTCCGCCCGGCGCTGCCCGAGGCAGCCTACAGAGAGCCCGAGCTGGCCAGATGCAAGGCGCCCCTGCGGTCACAGCAGCGTCTACCGCAGAGCGTGCAGAGTGCTCCACAGACAAAATAGAGAGCTCAGTGCTCAGCTAAAGAATGAATGCAATGTTTCTCTGCCATTACTATGGTGCTCATATCTACATCGGGAAGACTTAGAATACCTCCAGGCAATGCACATTTCTAGATAAAAATAGTCAAGTGCCTCTTTTAAAAACGCATGTACATAATATATACAGTTTTGAAGGAGATGAAAAAAAAAATCCTTGTACTAATGAAGTTTCTGAGTCCTAAGCAAACATACCCTAACTTACTGATTGATGTTTACATTTTCACATTGGTTGTGCTACGGGGCTGGACGCTTATGCCTACAATGCTGTCACTGCTCAAAAATCTCTCTGGATGCCTCATTCTAGAATCATCTTTGGACCTGGGACAGTTTGATTGATGATTAAGTTTTTAGACACAGAGGCTTACTCACTCAGGCTAGAGTGCAGTGGCACGATCACAGCTCACAGCAACCTCAAACTCTCAAGCGATCCTCCTGCCTCAGCCTCCTGAGAAGCTAGGACTGCAGCCGCACGCCACCACACACAGATAATTTTTTTATTGCTTTTTTTGGTAGAGCTAGGGTCTCATTATGCTGCTCAGGCTATTCTCCAGTTCCTGGCCTTAAATGATCAGATTCTGATGTCAAGGAAAATTTCTTGGAGGACAAGAATGCCCTATCTTTTAGGACATAGAATATTAGACCCCACACCAAAACTGTTGAGCCTTTGAACACACGGGGTGGATCCTGCTACTTCCTTATCCATCTATCCCCCACAAAACCCCAAGATGTACCTGTCATCTTTATTTATCTGGTCTCCAAATCCCACAGTGTCAACGATGGTTAACTTCAGGCGCACATTGCTCTCCTGAAGCTCATAACTTCTGGCTTTTAACCGGACGCCTGGTTCATTGTGAGTCGCTGGGTCACTTTCAAATTTGGTGTTAAATAGAGTGTCCATCAACGTGGATTTGCCGATGCCTGTTTCACCTATATAACCACAAATGAAAAATCAGAAAATATGTCAGTTAATCAGACATCAATTCAAGTCATCGGTAATTTTCTCATTAATCATGCCTGCAAAATTGAAATAAAAAGCATCACCACAGGCCGGGCGCTGTGGCTCACGCCTGTAATCCTAGCTCTTGGGAGGCCGAGGCGGGCAGATTGCTCAAGGTCAGGAGTTCAAAACCAGCCTGAGCAAGAGCGAGACCCCGTCTCTACTATAAATAGAAAGAAATTAATTGGCCAACTGATATATATATAAAAAAAAAATTAGCCGGGCATGGTGGCGCATGCCTGTAGTCCCAGCTACCCGGGAGGCTGAGGCAGAAGGATCACTCGAGCCCAGGAGTTTGAGGTTGCTGTGAGCGAGGCTGACGCCACGGCACTCACTCTAGCCTGGGCAACAAAGCGAGACTCTGTCTCAGAAAAAAAAAAAAAAAAAAGCATCACCACAAATACCACTGTGAGAGGGAATTCATTCTTTCTATGCACCATCCATGGAATGCAGCCCTGGAAATGCCTCAACAAAGCTCAGAAACTATCTAGCAAAAAAATCTTGAATTTACAAATCAAGACATTATTTTTGGCCGGGTACAGTGGCTCATGCCTGTCATCCTAGCACTCAGGGAGACCAGGGCAGGAGGATTCTATCTCCTCTCCTCCCTCCTCTCCTCCCTCTCCTCCCTCCTCTCCTACTTCTCTTCCCTCCTCCCCTCCCTCTCCTCCTCCCTCCTCTCCTACTTCTCTTCCCTCCTCCCCTCCCTCTCCTCCTCCCTCCTCTCCTACTTCTCTTCCGCCCCCTTCTTCCCTCTCGTTTCTTAATCCATTATATGTCATGTGCTCCTCTGCTGGTTCTTTTTAATGTATCC